GAAGTCCACTGTCCGTGGAGTCACCTTTATTTTTGTTCCGGGACACGCAGGCGTCGATGGAAATGAAAGAGCTGACAGGTTGGCTGGATCCGCTATCACTACCGACGGTCAGCCTATGGATCATGCTGATATTATCAATGCCCTCAGAGAAATGGGAAGGATAGACGACTTTGGTGGCAGTGAATCCACATCACTCGCCAGAATGGCAGACTTGGGAATTAAGATCGGCACAGCAAAAAACGAGACGCACACCAGCTACGCCAGAAGACTTGTTAATCAACATAGAACTGGTACTATTAGCCATCGGACGTTGGGGTTCATACTGAGGGGAGGATCTGAGCACCTATGGACATGTCCGGAGTGCAATGAGGATAACCCAACTAACTAACTAACTAACTAACTAACTAACTAACTAACTAACTAACTAACTAACTAACTAACTAACTAACTAACTAACTAACTAACTAACTAACTAACTAACTAACTAACTGACAAGCAAGCAATGCATTGCAAACTGTTCCTTTCCATGAAACTTATCAGCAGAATTTGAAATTGATGAAGACAGACACGATATCGAAATTTTGATTGACTGCAGTGGAACTGATTAAGGACCATCTTCTACGCCCTCATGCACATTGGGCATATAGGGCAGTCGAGCTGATGACCATATAACTAAATGAACACAGCGAAATTGGCTGGGCATCTTAGTAATATTTTTTATATTGTTCATTTAGTTTTAAGCAGGGCTACCTTTAAAAAATTAAGACGTCATTTTTTTCCCTCAGCACTATCATAATAATCTCACTTTGTAGTGAGTACCGGCACCCGGGTTATATAGATATAATTGAGTTTGAAGCAGACGGTTATTCGGTGTAAAGGTGAAGGCCGTCTGGTCGGAAGTAGAAAGCCGTCTGGAAATCGTGCTAGGACGGCCCACTAGTGCGATCTGTCGCACAACACTTCTGTTCTCCTCGTATTCATGTGTGATCTTCTTTTAGTTCAGTTATGTTTTATCTGATTTATATGTGACGGATTTACATTCCTACAGCAGTTACAAAGGTAAGTGCTTTCAGTGAATGGTTCTGCTTGGTGGTTATTGATGGTATTGATACCGTCAACGCTGATTGTTACGTCAAATCAATGCAGCGCTAGACTTTGTTTTGTCTGTGCTGAGAGTGAGATCAGTTACTGTTAGTAACCGAGTTAGTAAGTTTCTTAGGCATGCGGTGAATACTGTTAACGGGTACATTATCATAACATATGCCTTTGTACGGAAACAAATCATGCAGGTGAAAAGACTTCAGTAGGATGGTTGCTTTAGAAAAAGTAGTAAATACTGTTGTCGTTTCACCCCTAGGTGGCTAGTGACTAACATTACGTTATGATCCGTTAGATATTTTTTTTTCAAGTAAATCAAAACTAATATGAAGTATTATATCATAATGATCAAGACAGTTTAATTTAAGGGATGTACTATTTATAAAAAGGCGTCGGTGTCGGATTTCTGAACAGCAGATTAAATGAATAAATGCCAATTTGTACTTTAATACAGTGTCATAATGCACATTCAAAGGTATAGTAAATTCTTAAGTTGTGTTGGATACAGCAGATAAAATGATGAAAATGACTGCAGCAAAAAAGAATATGCTAGTCAACAGTTAGTTTGTAAAATTCCAAAGAAAAATACCCTGAAATATATATATATATATATATATATATATATATATATATATATATATATATATATATATATATATATATATATATATATCTTGTTTGTGTGTGTGTATGTGTGTATATATGTAAATATAAACATCTAAGACTACAACTTCAGATGGCATATTGTTTTATATATTTCAACAAAACAAAGGTACCAGACTATGGGATGTTGGCTACATATGAAATACATTATTTTTTACTATAATGCATCCTTGTATGAGTTCCAGGGCCCTGAAAAGGGGGGGGGGGAGGGGGAGGTGAGACGACCCCCTCTTTCTGCTAACAAAACATGGAAGCATACAAGTAGAAGCTAAATAAAACCAGTGTGTATTAGTAAAAACAGGAGCTGTTTAGACGTTTGTTCCCTGTTATGCTAACACAATGTAGAGAAGCTATCATTGATATCTTTTTCTTGTTCTGTTGTTTTTCTACACAAATTATTCAGGGTTACAAGTTTTCATGCAGTTAGTGCCCATGTATGAAATAATAAACACAACTTTTTGGTGTTGTGATGCTGGTAAACTCAGCCTGTAGAAAAGCTTAGCTACAACATACAGCTTATTTTTCATACAAGTGGGGTTTGAATTTGCTTAGCTACAACATACAGCTTATTTTTCATACAAGTGGAGTTTGAATTTGCTTAGCTACAACATACAGCTTATTTTTCATACAAGTGGAGTTTGAATTTGCTTAGCTACAACATACAGCTTATTTTTCATACAAGTGGGGTTTGAATTTGCTTGATGATTTTAATTATATTTGATATGAATTAATTGTTATTGTAATTTTTGTTTCTTGCTTTAGATCTCTGGTTTTTCATAAAGGACACAAACAATTTGTTCCGTCTCAGAAGTTTTATTTATTCATCATGCAGTACAACTAGTCAGGTCACAGGGAGAGGTGAGACCTGATCTTCTATTAGATTTTTTTTAGATTTAAGAAATCTGCTTACTTATTACTTAAGTAAGCACTTAATGAAGGTTTCAGGTCTGAATCGCGGAAGTAGTAAATTATTTTAATCTGTTTTATATACCAGTGCTGAAACTGCATACACACAGAAAAAAAGCCCTGAGTATGAGTAGACTGTTCTTTCTAAGGTTCTTTCTAAGGAACACACAGGGCAGAAGGAAAATAAGATACCTAACTACACACAGAGAATCAAATTAGATAAAGAGTTGAATAATATAGGGATGACATGATGTGAGCTGCAGGAGATGGCAAGATATCTGATGGCTTAACATGAGTTGGTTATATAAGGATCTATGCTTCAGTGGCAGATACAGGGCACAATAAACTGTTGTGTAGTTTGATTTAATTCTGAAAAATGGGGCTCTAGGTTTGTTTCTAAATGGCTGTTATTGATATTTCATGAATAGGGCATCTCAGTGATAAAGTGGTAAAGTTGTCTGCCTCACGTTTTTCCAGAGACAGATAATTTAACTCACAATTGCAGTTTTTACGGAGAGCTTTAGGGGTCGCTGCTAGAGCTAAAAAGTTTGTGCTTTTTGCAACACTTTTGGCAAGTGGCTAGCCATTCTATAAACACACACACACAGAGAAAGAGAGAGAGGGAGAGAGAGAGCTGGATGGAATCACAACCAGTAAAATGAAATCAGTCCTCCTTACTTTAACCCTTTGGAGTTGGAGCCCTATTTGGGGGTGCAGTGCCAAGAACATGGAGCCCTCAGGAGGGGTTTCTCTTAATTTGCACACAAAAAATTGTAAAAAAAAAAAGGAAGTGTTTAATTAACATATATAAAACCGTATTAATTCTTGTAGAAAATTGAATGAACCAACACAGTCTGTATGAATCACACTGATATCTCAACATTGATTCAAATTAGCTATCCTGATTTGCATATTTACTTATTTTTTAAACCTAGGGCAGACATGAGAAATTGAAAATATTTTTTATACGTTTTCTAATGAGTGAAGCCCGAATAAGTCCTAACTTGGAAAGCAAGGCCCTGGAGGCCCTTTAGACACGTCTGGCACCTGGTGCTATTCCTTTTCCTGCCTCCTGCTATGTTTTGATTGCTGCAAAGGCAACAGTCCATTTCACCGTTGTTGGGCACAGGTAACAACCCCCAAAAAATTGATGTAAAATTACAGTACACAACAAACTTTCACAAAAGCCACCATTGAACAGCTCATTTGTGCAAGAAATGTGAGAAGCAATCTGATTGACTGGTTCAAAGACCAGTCAGCTAATCTCAAGACGTGTATTACTGAGCTGACAGATGGGCCCAGGCATTCTTTTTTTTTTGGACACGTTTTTTACTGGAATCACAAATTCTCAGTATGTTTTTTTGCTTAATTACAAAATTTACTTTTTTTTCAGCAGCCTGTTTGTCTTGCTTGTTGTGATTTACAATATATTGTCTTGTTTGTTATGATGCCCAATATACATCAAAAAGATTTTGAATCCGAGAAACAGGCTCACATTCCTCCTTACCTTTATCTTGCCTTTTACCTTTGTCCAAGAAAGTTAGATGCCCTTAAGTGAGGACTTTGATGTCAGAAACATCTGTTCTTCAGAATAGTGAAAATTGATGTTCTAGAAATTGCTACCTTGTTGCTACCTGCGTTCAGTGGTTACTACCACAGCATCTGAACATGTTACATTGATTTATCATTTAAGAATAAACATCATAACACGCCGAGCATACTCATAGATGCTCCGTCTCTCATCGCAAATGTATTAAGGTGAATATTCTAGCTGTTCCTGCAGCACACTGATTATGTGCATGTCATGCTCTTCCTCTTATTTGTGCATCCTTGCTGGATCCACTCTTAATCCCATGTTCACACATTTTTACACATGTTATTACATCCAGCCTCATGTCTTCTGTCAGCATTCGTTCATAAATGGTCTTCAGAATGTCTCCTTTGTCTAGTACTAGTATTCCCTTAGCTATCACGTCAGAAAATCCGCTGATTGTTTTCCTCGCACTCATGCATATCCCAGACAGTATATGCACATGAATCCTTGTAATGTTGATGTACTGATGCTTGATATCCACTCATGCCACAATTGTCCATTTTTTATCCTTCCGCAGTACTGACTGAGAACATGTTACGTTGGATGAACATTTGATAAGAATTAGTTCTGATTATTTATGATTGTCTTAATTAAGGAAATCATGACATTTTCCCCCTCACCGAAAATATTATAGTGACGATATGAACCTGTTGATAGATATTTATACCACAGAATGTCAATCAGTATAGCTCATTGTCCACATACTGTCCTTTACATTTTCAGATCTGCTTCAGGCCTCATGGCACTCCATAACTTTAAATCTAAATGGATCGACCACTTCAATTCCCTGTGGGTGGAAGAGGATTGTGAAAGCCTGATATTAAAAGATGATTTGGAAGGGCTTTACCAACGCTTAGTCAACAACAAGGAGATCTTGTGTGTCCCTCCACAAGCCATTTTCCTCAAAGGACCAACTCTTCCAGATTTTAACAGCAGTTCAGAAACATACAGCCTTGATGAGCAAGAAAATTTACTGAACTCTCTTCTTTCCAACCAACTATTTTTAGCTGAAGTTGTCAGCAGTAACACACCTTTTGCTCAGGTATGGTAGCTTTTTTCATGTAAATATTCTCGTAATGTATTCTGAAGTATATACTGCTGATTCTTAACCCAGACACACACATTTGTTCGTAGATATAGCATGAAAAGTTATCAGTCTAAACAAGAAGTAGAGCTAGCCAGCTTCACATTATAACAGTTCAGAACGACAGATGAACATTGCGGCTAAAAAGCCTTCATTAGCATATGATACAAAACCAAGAATGATACTGCTACAAACAAGAATTGAAACACACACAGGCACACTCTCTCTCTCTCTCTCTCTCTACATACTGTGGATGTATGTATGTATGTATGTATGTATGTATGTATGTATGTATGTATGTATGTATGTATGCGCATATGTATGTAGGTGCCTGTATGTATTATGCATGTCTATATGTGTGAGAATGAATGTATGTAAATGTAGCTGTGTAAGTATGTGATTGTATGTGTGTGTATATATGTATGTATGTGGGTGTATGTAGCTGTGTAGGTATGTGGGTGTTTGTGTATTTATAAATGTATGCAAGTATGTATGTATGCAGGTATGCATGTATGTATGTAATATCTATATGGGTTATTGTATAAATGTGCATGCATGCATGTGTGTGTATGTATGTAATGTATGTGGGCATGTATGTATGTATGTATGTATGCATGCATAAATGTATCTATGTGTGTATGTATGCATGTTGGTGGATGTATGTATGCATATTTAGCTGTGTAAGTATGTGTGTGTATTTAGGTATGCATGTATGTGTGTAAAGATATGAGTCTATGTATAAATGTGTGTATGTATGTATGTATACATGAATGTGTGTATATGTAAGTTTGCATGTATGTGAGTGTATGTATTCATGTGAGTGAAAATGTGTGGTTGTGGGCATATGTTGGTGTCTGTACATGTGATTGTATATGTGTTTGCATGGATGCATGTATAGGTGTGTATGTATGGAATGTGTGTGTGCATGTATATCCATAAATGTATGTGTGTGTGTTTTCTGTTTGTGCATTTATGTCTATGTATGTGTATGTGTTTATGTTTGTGTATGTATGTAGATGCATTACATATGTCTGTATATGAGTGTGCATGTATGAGAACGTAAAAGTATGTATACGTGTGTGTGAATGTGTACGATTGTGTACACATGTGTGTATGCATTATTCTATATTTTATATTTATTTATTATATCCATAACATGCGTTATTGATAACAGACATTGGTACTCTGAAAAATGAGTGCTTAGAAGGGCTGAATGTCAGACGGGCCCGCATGCCGAATTTGTAACCCCTTAAAAATATTGTTTGTTCGTTCGTTCGTTCTCTCTCTCTCTCTCTCTCTCTCTCTCTCTCTATTTCTGTCTCTGTGCATGTAAAAAAAGCATTTAGGTCTTTCACATAAAATTTCCAAAACGTGTCTGGGCAGAAGAAACGTTTTAGTTGTGTTTTGTGAAGAAAGAGGATACTGTTTAGGAAGAGAGTTAGGATGAAAAGGTTATAACAAATGTATTATCTCAACAATTGTAGATAAATCAATGTTGGAAATTAAGGTCATTAGGTAAGAGAAAGCTCAGATAAGGTTTCTAGGAGTTTTCTTATATTGTATGACACATATGTGGTTGTCTGGTATATATATATATGTGTTTTTATTGTAGGTGCTAATTGTCCTAGCTGCAACTTGATTAAAAGTCCCCTCAGTGTGAATATTTTCCAGAACCTCCCTCTCGCCTCCTGCCACATTGAATTAGTCTTTCATTGTTTGGATTCTCTGTCTGTTCTGTCACACTGCCCAGTTGATCCTGGAGAACCTTTACCATGTCGGCTTTATTGTAAAGTAGCTCACCATCCAGAAGGGTGACAGCAGCTAATCTATCCGTTTGATTGTTACCTCCCACACTTAAATATCTTGGACATAAAATTTATGATATACTACTGATGTGTATCCTCACATATGTGAAAACCCTTACATACCTATATCAGTAGCTACTTACTGTAGGTCTGCCTTTATCTTTAACTTTTACAAATGTCTTCGACAGGTGCTTATGAAGAGGGTGCTGGTCCTCCAGCGGATTTACAATGCAGTATCACAGAAGTATCATGCCATTCTGGACAGTCCGGCCATTCCTCTTATTTCACCACTTGACAACGAGAAGGGAAAGGTTCTTGAGCATGTGGATACTGCATCTGCAATGGGCAGTGAGGCCCTCATCAAACTTGGTGTCAAGACTGGCCTCAGTATGTTGTTTTCTCTGTTTCGGCAAAACTGGACTCTGACTGCCAGCACTGGACAGGTGTCATCTTGTAATGACATCCTGCTGACAGCTCTTGATGTTGTCTACTCACTGCCGCCACTGTCTCTAGCAAATGAGAATAAGCTGACCACTTTAGGTAAGTGTGCTAGAAAGGGAAAAACATACATACATAAATGCTTATGACATTTTACATGTTAATAAAAGTAAAGATCCTTTTCACGCCTTTAGGCGCATCGGGCATATGGGAAGAGCACCTATATTTGTACAGACCAATTGGCACTAGGTGGGTAATGTGGTCAGCATTCGCCGGCCATCTTTACTTCACCAGGACATACATCCTGGTACCCATTTTAGGCTGGGTCGACCTGCGACGCTCCATACCATGATAAAAATCATGCGGTCAGCAGTGGGACTCGCAACTCCTAAGCCATGGACGCCGCTACATTTTACATATAAATATGTTTTATCTCAGCACAGTTGTAGATAATATCTTCTGACTGACTGACTGACTGACTTTCTACCCCACCAGGACATCACACAAGCGATAAACACCCGGTGACACAATGTGCCACCATGTGGGTGAGGATCACCGTGGAGAGGTCCCAGAAACCGCGTTCAGACAATTAGCCATATTTATGGGCTGCCTATATTGCGGCCCCTGGCAAAAGCCAGGGTGGGGCTTCAAATAACAAAAAATTTCGTCCTGAAAAGGACGAAAATTGATATATTAAGGATATATCTTCTTCTTTGCCTTCGGTTTTGTATGCTCAGGCAAGACCATCAGGTGGGTTGCCTCTATAAACTCACATGTCAGCTGCAGGTCCTGCAAGGTTCCCCATAGCTTGCTCTGCACACTTTGCTCTTGAGGCTAGGTTTCTATTAAAAATTGTAGGTAGAATAGGCAGGTCTGCAGAATGTGCTCAGGTGTTTGTAGTCCTGTCTGACAGGCACATTGTGGGTTCGATGCAGTCTTTTTTTTTAAATGAATGTGGTAGTTGATCCTGCAGTGTCTTATGCATAGACAGAAAATGTGATTTTGGAAATTGGAAAATTGTGGATGTTTACTGTTGGTTTGTTCTCTCCGTAATCCCTTGTTGAGTCTTTCAATTTCTGGTAATGACAATGAATGGGTATGTTGTTTCTCTTTTGTTCCATTTTGAGCCAGTCTGTCCGCTCAAATCCTGGAATACAGCAGAGAGCCGGGATCCCCTGGATAATTTGAGACATGCTGTCATTGTCTGACACAAAGAATACATTAGTAAGCAAAGGGAAACAAACTGTCACGTTATTTACTAAAAGAAACTTATTATGGCAGTAGTGACATAGAAGTGTTCACAGAAGATAAGGCAGGGGTTGACTAGCACAAAGCTAGACATTTTTGTTTCTTTTGTGTTCACGGGATGTAAACTCTAGTGGAAAGTTCTGGTTGCTTATCCACTTCTGGACTTTAGTCTTGTTCCAGAACCTGAGTTTTGCATGCACATAAATTTTACAGACCTGACTTATTTGTATGCAGACTGTTGGTTCTTTGCCCATTAAGTCAGATGCATTCCCACTTTGAAGGAAGTATTTCAAATTAGTAGATTTTTATGACTGTATGCAGAGGGTGAGGTGTGGGGCAGTGATTCTACTTTTTTTCCCTCCCACAATGAGACACAGTACCCACACGGGGATTGCTGGGACATATCTTAGATATGTTAGCTATCTTAGGCATGCAAATACATGAGGCAACACAGTCAGCAAGGATGTCGAAGGCTGTTCTGGAGAACCATGATGGAGCAAAATTCTGCTTAGGGCTTGCAACATGTTGAACTTCTTGTCTATACCTAAACATACAGTGATGTGTCAAGGCCTCTGCTGTCATTATCTTGATGTAGCAGTACAATGTTGCATTGTGCACAGATTTTACTTTGTGAGCTCATAATTTTATAGTTGCAAATGAGCCTGTAGTAGTTCATTTCATAACTTTTGGCATTTTGTCTGTACATGCATGAAGACAAACAAATGTGTCAACACAAGGTCTAAAAATGTACATGCTTCATCTGTAAAGAACCATTGCTTGGCATGTGAGTTTCCTCATGTGGTTTCATAGGCCTTATTTTGGGGGTGGGAATGGACCCAATGCACTTCTTATCAAGCATGTCATAAAAGATGGCTAATTAGAGATGTTTACTTTAAAGTTAGATTGTGTCTGCCTGAAAGGCCAGGAACCAACAGTCAGCATAAAAATAAGCCTGATCTGTAAAATGAATGTGCATGCAAAACTCTTGTTCTGGAACTTGACACGTAGTCCAGAAGAACCAGAAGCACTTTCCACTGGAGTTTGGTGAAGGTTCAGAAGAAGAAGAAGAGGGGGAAGAAGAACATTGCATGTCATTGATTCTTGAAACTTGATTTTTTGTTGTTGCTGGCACTAACTGAAAAAGAGCATTCACAACCCAGTTTTTTTCCTCTAGTATATACATATCTTTTTTTTTTTTTAATCGCAAATCCCCCTCCCCACCCTCCAATCATTGCTTTATTTTTTTAAATTTTTCAACAACTCTTGCTCATTATGCTTTTCCATATTTAGGTTTCCCATGCTTTATCTTCTGTTCACATGATTTTTGATTTATGTGGTTTGCTTATTTGTGACTAAAATATTTGGGATTTCCTGCTATATATTCTTTGTGTATGATGATTTGTTGAGACAGACTTTGATCATAGCGTTTACTTATATCTCTCTGTGTTTCTTCCCTTCTGCTAAGCTTCCTAGTTATATTTTGAATTCATTACTTATTTTTTTTTAAAGAATGAAACTGATTCTGCGGTACGAGGCTGCGTGATTGAATTGATGTCAATTATGTTGTCTCTGAGGTCTACTTGTGTTGAACATGTTTTCCACAGGCACTGAGGCTTTGAACTCTGTGACCAAATTCCTCCATCTTGCTGCCAGTCCACAGTCAGGAGCTGATATCCAAGGACAACAGTTGGCATCCCAACTGCTTCTGGCCATTGCCATGCAGCGAGGCCTGCTCCATCACCTGCTGGACTGGGTGGGGCTGGCTCTGCAGGTATCCGCAGGTGCTTACAGTGAGGCCAAGAAAGGTGTCGATGCCGGTTATGGCAGAATTAACATGACATTTTTCAAGGCAATCCTGGCGCAAATGATTGACAAAACAGTAAGTGGACATTTAGACAATTTTTTTTTAGCTGTCATCTATGATAGTGTTAAATAGATGGCCCATTAATAGAACAGCTTATAACATTATGTGCTTTGCTAGATGGTGTTAACTCTTATGCCCTGATATGCAGATATTTAGACTACCATTCATTAAAATCACTGTGAATTGTATATATGTATATATCAGGTGTTCCACTCGGGATGGAATCCAGTATTTTGTTCATAACTCGGACACAAATAAAGATAATTTGGGTGACATCATAACAAGTGCTGGAAATGGTTGCTATTGGCGTCCAGGCAGAAAAACATCACATGACCTTGAGTTGTACCAGTATATCAGCTTTCTCCATTTGCCAGCAGTGTCGCGTACCAGTCTAGCGTCTAGTGGATGCTAGTGGTGGCCATTTCCAGCACCTGTTATGATATCACCTGACTTTGCATGAACGGAGAAAAAGCCACTCCAGATTCCTTTGCCAGATCTTTATTAATGTCCAAGTTGTGAAGGGAGTACCGGGTTCCACCCTGACTGAAACACCCAATCTTATATCTATTTGTGCTTTGTTGCATGGTCCAGTCCCATACAAACTGTGCAGTCTTTAGGAGGGCCAGATACATTTACTAAAAATAGCATTGGGGGGGGGGGGGGGGTGTTAAGATGGTGAAAAAATGGCTTTGTTAGTTATTATGACATCATACTTTGCCTTTCAGTGTTCACATAGTAACAAATTAATGTACTTACCCAAAACTAAAACCTGTAAGTGAAGGAGAGAATAGCAAGACTGTAATCTTCCATGCTTGTTGTAAGAGCTATGATTGGTGCGAGACTGGCTGCCTCATGCAGATCATGAACAAGTGTGCAGAGAGCTTGGTATGTGTTGTTTGAGTCCTTGTACTTCAGTGGGTAGTGAATGGCTGGAGAAGGAGGAAGGAAGGAGAAGAAGGCAGAACAAGTGTAATGTCAGTGTTCTGTTGATGTGACTTACAGAAGAACTTTTCACAGGGTGGGGCAGAGCGAGTGCCAAGGACATCTCTGACTGTGGACAAGGATGGTATGATACCCATGTTTGAAGCTGCCATGTTTCTCTTGGAAGAAGTAAGTGGCTCTAACGTAGATAATGAGTGTATATTGCTGAAGTATTTTTTGTTAGGTAATGCTCAGTCTTCGAAGACTCAGATAGTTAGAATGCACTCCCAGGTTAATAGGGAAATCCTCTTAGGTGAATTACACGTGGATAAAAGATGACAGGGTCGGCCTCTACTATGATTTAAATAAATGAGTATGCAGGCAGGACATGAATAATACAGGTATTGAGATGGATTCATTGCAGCAGGATGCCATGGATTGCATTGCATTGCGTACAGAAAAAAAGGTGGAAGGGTTGGGGAGGAATGGGGACAAAGAAGAAAAGGGTTGCAGACAGGTTAAGAACTGTGTTAGAAAACAAAATAACTGTTAAATACATGTGATGGCTACAATAGGGCTAAATAAACTTATGTACTTGTGGAAGATTGCTCTCAACATGAGCTGGTCTTGCTAGTGACACCTGCCTGCCGTAGTCGTAGGCTGTAACCACCATGCCTCCCCATAGCACAGTGAAGCACTGTTACCTGGAAAGACAGGCAAGTGCCATCTGTTTGGTATGTTGTAATAGCCACATTATAGCTAATCATTGTCACTGTTTACATGGACACAATATGCAACATTGATGTACAAGCTGTTTTAATTGGGTTATGTAGTTGAATGTAACTTATGGATAATGGAACTGGCATTGTAATTACTAAGTTTGTTTATGCATACAGTGGTCTGGTAATAACCAGTATGATGCCGACACATATTAATTCAGCTTCATAAGATTGATGCAGGTTGGTTTTAAGAATTTTTGGAACACCCTGGGGCAGGAATCCAACAGGAAAAAAATGCTGGTAGCCACGTATTATATGCTGACACATAGAATGTACAGTCTAATGTCTCTGTAATGATGCTAGTTAGGCAACTCATCATTGATGACGTAACATCAGACAGTGCATTAAAACAAGTCCAAGTATTTGGCCAGATTAGAAAATGGCGACCAATTATAGGTTGAATGAAGGTCGACATTGAACACAAGATTATGTAAACACGTTTTATTGGCTTTCTCAAGAATAGATGAGTTAGGTGAACCTCGTGAGTAGAAAGCAGCTAGCTGACAGGGTGAGAAAGCTTTGCATTCAGTGTTATGCATTTGAATGAGACGGAATGATCTTGTGTTGAACAAAATAACTAAACTCCTGTGTTTATAAATGAACTGCGCTGTTGACAAATACCTGGTTAGTGAAACTAGAGCAGCTGTCAAGTGACTGCTTGCATGAAATTGGAGAAATGTTAAATGCACCCAGTGATGTATGTAAGAGGATTTCATTGGAGTGAAGGACCTGTTGTACTTGCAAGTAATGGGATGACTGTCACAAAAGTGATCGATAGACAGCACAAGCAACTCAACAGTACCTAAACAACGATAACTACCGGCTGTTCTGAAATACTAAATGTTGCACATGATTCAACGATTTTGACACCGCCAGTTGTTGATTTCAGCGTGTATAGTTCTGTACCTGCAGACACAGGGACTTCACAGGTTCCTGGTAATTGTAGTATTGCTGAGTTAGCAAAGGGAAGAGTCTCACAGGAACAACTCACTCGACCCCAAAAAGGTACTTTGCAACCTCATAACCACAGACATTAAGTAAATAGTTTCTATACAGAATAAAAGGAATGAAATTGTTTGACAGAATCACTGGTACAAATCTTATCGAGAGAGCTAAACAAATTCTCATGAGTCTAGGGATAAGTTAAAGATGCTATTGCTGTAATCACACAATGAGCAAATGTTATAATAGATAACAGATGAGATGTCTTTGCAACAGAACAAGTAACTGAGACAATAAGAGGTGACAGTAATACACACATTCTCTGACAGCTCCATTGTGCTGCTGATGAGTACACCAACACTGGCAGTGTGTCTGGAGAGTGCAGCCCGGGCACTTCTACGCCTACAGGTCCAGCCAGTCTCAACCAGCGCACGGATGTCTACGTCTGGGGCAGCAACAGCAGCCACCAGCTGGCAGAGGGCAACCAGGAAAAGATTCTCACTCCAAAACTGACATCTGTCTTTGCAGATTGCCAGCAGGTCAGTTAGCACTTGTGCCAGACCGGCAGCACTTCAGTTAACACTTTGCTACAGGATAGACATCTTGTTTACTGTCTGTCAGTCCCCCCCCCCCCCCCTCTCTCTCTCTCTCTCTTTCTCTCTCTCTCTCTCTCTCTCTCTCTCTCTCTCTCTCTCTCTTTATCTATCTATCTCTGTGTGTGCATGCATGTGTACACTTGCGTGTGTGAGTAGATTAATTTTTTAACAATTTTAAGAATATTTTTTCTATGACTACTCTGAGTACTGAGGCCCTGTGCCAAGTAGCAATACATATGTTTATCAGAAGCTATATTATTTTATTTAAAATGTTTCATTTAACTAGTTTAGGTAGACACTATAATTACCTAAAGTATATATGAATTCTAGATTTTGAACGGGGATATTATAAGAAAGACTAATAGGTACAGGATACAATGTCAGGTATATATGTCAAGTATTGACTTGTTCACATATGTTGTGGGTTTTGATACCAGCCTTTCATATGTGAAAGGGTTGTACAGTTGTTGAATAGGTGAGGCCCATACTGCACATAAATCACGGCAGACCAAAAATCACACGGAAAAGGGAGTTAAAAAGTGAGATAAAAATTCAGGGAGGACATGGGAGAGCTGTATGCAATAGCAAAGGATAGGATAACATAGCATGAGTTGGTTGAGGGCCTATGCTCCATCAGGGTCTAAATGGCTGAATAAGAAAGAAGAGAAGAAGAAGAATAAATAAGGCATAGAACACTAATTCATCTGAATATACCAGATATTTGTGACTTGTCTTTGACATGTACAAACCTAGCATGATTCACCGAGTGGACCAAACTCTGCGGATTTTTTTACAAAAATAAAAAAAAACAGTTGCACATTATACCCTGATTCTGAATTAATAGATCCTTTTTCTTCAAGATCTTCTGAGTTGCTAATTGTAGGTTTCTGCTTAAGAACTGATTCTTCATCATTTTCTTATTCTTCAGTGGTAGTCACACTAGACAAAATTTCATTGTTGTTCACAATTTCAAAGCCTCCATCCATTTTGTCACATTCCAACTAATCTGTTACTTCTTTTTGGCTTAATGTTTTCACTGTTGAGTCTTACGTTATTGCAAAGTTGCACAATTTGGTCAACACTAAGAGTCTCAGGTTCTTCAGTTTCGTTCGTAAGGTTCAGGAAAGAGTTTATTCCACCCGTTCTTTAGGTTAGACACTGTAAGGTCAGCCCAGGCAGTGGTGACGTTGAAAATAGTGTGCTTTATGTTGAAAATCTTCTCAAATTGTTTGACAGTCATAGCTACATAGGATGTAAACAAGCATTTAATAAAAGCTTTTCTGTAACGTCATTTTTTGGGGGTTTAAAGACTATGATGGATAACAGAAACTGACGGTTAAATGAGTGATAGTTTATCTAAGTTTTACTGTTTATATCATACACTGCACACATTACATTCACTGTCTATGTGATCTTTGCCCATGTGACACTAATTGTATATGTGTCTCAGGTCGAGGCAGGTCAATTCTGCTCATTCCTTCTGCACCTTGACGGAAGTGTGAGTGCTTGTGGGAAGGGTAGCTATGGCCGCCTTGGTCTAGGAGACTCCAACAACCAAACAGTACCCAGGAAGCTGACATTTGATCCGCCCAAGGTCATTAAGAAAATTTCATCTTCAAAAGGCTCAGATGGACACACCCTTGCTCTGACAGTAGATGGGGAGCTCTTCAGTTGGGGAGATGGTAACAGTTATATATTCACTATCTTAATGGTGGTCTTGTTTTCAGTTGAACAAAAAAGTTGAATAGAAAGAGATGTATGTGTATTGTTTCACTAGAAATATATAAAGCTTAATTTCTAGCCATAAGTCAAGGTGTGTAATGTGTTTATAGACCATTTATAGCATAGAATTCAGTCAATCAGGTGCCATCACAGGTAAGGTTGGCTACAGTGGATACGAACACGTTCTCTTTTCTTGGTTTTACACTCTCTCAGACTGCTTTTAGTCCATCATTTGATGTTTTCCTCCAATTTATAACATTTTCTACCTCTTGCTGTCCTGCCCTTTCCCTCCATTATGATGGTTTTTAAAGGCGTATTATGTCTTTTAATGTGGCCAAAATATTTCAATTGTATTTTTTTTTCTTCCAGTAATTCTTTTTGTTAGCAGTCTTTCCAGATCCTTTGTGTTTGACTTTTTTTTTTTTTTTGCTTCCATGAAATATGACCTATTCTTCCACGTTTTCAGAAACACATTTCATTTTTCGTCTGTTCATTGTCTAAGTTTCTGCACCAAACACTAGGGTTGAGTATACATAACATTTGACGATTCTCATTTTCAAAGGGTTTATCTATCTAGCTGTCAATAAATGTTGCACCTTATTAAAGATGGTTTTTGCCAGTCCTACATAGAATTATAGCCAGTCCAGCATAGAATTATAGCCATTCCTGCATAGAATTATAGCCATTCCTGCGTAGAATTATAGTTTCCTGCATATAATTTTAGCAATTCTACATAAAATTATAGCACTGTAACCAACCATTGTTGCTTAGAAAACCGTTGTAGCAAAATGAACCAATCATGAGCAAAAGTCTTGGCATAAGTTGGTTGAAGATCTATGCTCCATTGATTGCAAGATAAAAATGCAGAAGAATAAAACAACCCTTCTGATTTATTTATGGTTGGCTTGAAAACTGTCACTGTATTTAATATTAGTTGTAAATCAGATATATTTATATTTATCTTTATACATTCATACGTGCAAATACCCTTTTTTTTCATTTGATATATTGTTCTTGCAACAGCCCATAAATTAACATCCCTGCATACACCAGCAGTGGTGCAAATTCATTAGTAGTAGTAGTAGTAGTTTGTTGGTCCTTATGACATTCTGGGTTGTGCTTCATGGCCAGACAGTGTTTTTATAAAACTTATTCTGGCCAGCGCTCCAGCATAGTTAATAGCGCATTGGACGTCAACTGACAATCCCCATGCATGTCTGGTCTCGGGTTCCAGCCCGGGGATGGCAGAAAAAGCGCATAGTCCCCAGATTAACGGTGTACATAGCACCGAGGCTAAAGGGCTGATGAAGAGCCAGATGAACTAAACTCGAATGCTTCTGCCCCCCCCCCCCCCCCCCAAAAAAAAAAAAACTGATTCTATCTAAGGATAATATCTGCTGTTGACCTATAACTTTTAATGTCATCACTTTAAATATTCTTTAGAGGTCTCTATGTTGTCTAGGAAGTGCATATTCACAGTGTATGTCTTGTATGTTACAGCACATATGTTCAGTCTTATAAGTTGTTTAGGAAAGAAGATATGTCATTTCTGTTATTGTCCTAGTTGTTTAGGAATTATTTAGCACTGTACGATGTGTGGGTGAAATATTGGTGAATAAAGTAAAATTCTGTTTACATACCAGTGGTACATCGGGCATATGTGGCGAGACCTATATTGTTTAGGCACTACAGTTTCGGAAATTTGCGATCTTTTCGACAATTTCCGTTACCATAGAAACCGCTTGAAACTTGTTTCGGAAATGTCGGCTGGGGTTTCGGGATGGGTCCTAATCTCTCATGAAATTTTGCCATTGGTGTGATTTTCACCCTCTCTAAATAGCTGAAAACGGCGGGAAGGAACTCGATTAACAGCGCATGTCTACGACAGCCGGATGTTCTCTGTTTTTCTGTTAGTCATCAGTTTGATTGAAAATAGCGGTAAATTCGAGGTTGGCTTTAGGCTTTAACTGTTACTGTACCTGGTAATGCTAGTTATAATTGAATTCTCCGTCCAATTTTACATTTGTGTATAAAATTTCTTTCTGGTACGTGGCTAGGTAGATGTACAGTGACATTTTTTAGGCAATCGCATGCGGCTGAGTGAGCTGAGTCTCATTGCCTGCCATCTTGTCCAATGACAGTCCAATGTCAACAAAGCCGATACAGAACTGCGCAGTAGGTTGCGCAGTGAAAAACTTCTTGTTTCTGGGTCACAAGTTTTAGCGGCTGTTTCTTACATCTAATCTCCACAAAAACCTACATATCTCAGCTCAGAAATGACAAGCCTAAATGAGGTACCATTGGAAAGAGATTGTTTACAGCTATCTAACTGTGCTGCTTTTATTGGTGTAGAGGGCATTTTAAAAATTTCACTGAAGTAGCTATATTGTTGTAGCCCATTGGGACCTTTTACGCTACCACCTTTACTTCCCAGGATTTTGCCTGGTACTCATGAAAGTGTGATAAATATATGGCCATATATACAGCCACAGATAGGATATATGAGGTCAGAGGGCAGTTTTGTTTCGTTTGCCAATGCTTCATACAAGGACTAAGATGCAGACAAGATTCCTCATGGTTTTTCTGTTTGTGGATGATGCAGCCATTACTGCTACAAAAAATGATCTGCAGATGCTGTTGATTGCTTTGCCAAGCATGAAGAGAATTTTGTCTCACCGTCAGCCTCAACAAAATGCAATTGATGGGGATGAATATGGTAGACCCACCAAGGGTTAGGGTTTACAACCATTAGCTTTGGTTATACAAGAGATTGAGGACCTCGTTTCTCGAATCACAGATTATCTTTGCCTAGATGCAGAACTAAACAAATGAATAGGAAAGGCTTCTGCAGGGCTATCTGAACCCACAGTGAGAGTTTGTTTGAAAACAAAAGCTGATGGACAGGACCAAAATCAATTTATGAAGTTTGTATTCTGAGCACACTCCTTTATGCTCCGTAAGAAAAAAAAAAGAGACAAATTCTTTGTATATCAATTGACCAAAATAAATATGTACTCAACAGAACAATATACAGCTTTCTCCTGAAGTAAAGACACATGCGTTGGTTGTAACATGTCTCCCAAATGGAGGACGGTCACATTCCAAAGAATCTTCTGTATGGCGAACTGGAAACAGGGAATAGATCTGCAGAAAGACCGTTGCTAGGCTATAAGGGCATATGCACATGTGACCTGAAAGATATAAGCAGCATTGACACAGACTCTTGGGAGAGATCAGCTACTGACTGACATCTGTGGAGGCAGGCGGTGAAAGACGGACTGTGGCACTTTACTCGAGGCCAAGTGCAGCAAGCTGTAGGAAGGAGAGGTCTGAGAGAAGAATAGCCTCAGTATAAAAGCTTCATTGTTTTCATGTGTACTGTGTGGCTGAGACTGTCGCTCCTGCATTGGACTTTACAGTCATAGCAGACACTGTTCCAAAAACCAGCGGCATACCTGCATGGTCCCTAGTTGCCTGCTATAGGCATACAATCCCCGCAGGATTACGTCAGCCAGACAGCTGATGAATGTTTAGCTAAGATCATCCATATGTTAATTTTGCAGGAGATTATGGCAAGCTTGGCCTTGGAGGAAACCACACTCAGAAGTTTCCCAAACTTATTCAGGGACCATTAACTCGTAAGGTGAGAATATCTGTTTGTATAACAGTAATTGATGTGGGCAACTGTTGCAGATCTTAAATTCTTTGTAAAATTAGTGTTGTGCTGCAGTTTCACTTTGGCTTTAACTCTAATGGCAAACATAATTTTGATGCAGTTAGAATCATCAAATGGCATTCACATACAAGATAAAGAGACAAGAAATTACATGGGTTAAACTTCATGAAATCTACAAATCAAAACAGAAACTCAAACAGAAATGTTTTACGAAAAATCACAAGAGACAAAATGGATATTGCAGTTAAAGATCCTTCAATAGCACATACAAACATTTTTGTCAGTTTCCTTTAGGTTTTGTATGCATTTTAGCCACAACACACTTTCACACAAATCTGATCATTTTGACATGCATGACAGAGCAAAATAAATTCAAGACAGAGCACCAGGCCATCAAAAGAAAGGAAATAAGAAGGGGAGAAAAGGAAAAAGGTGAGAGGGAAGGAGGATGCTGCTGCCATACACGATGTCATAAACACTAAATACAACTTAGAAGCTTATTAAAAGCAAAGAATACAGACTGCAGACACAAAATAAAACTGATCATACATAAAAGTCATCCACAAATGCAGAAAAAACAAAGGCAACAAATGAAAGGAAAGAATCCATAATTCCTTTGTATGCATTAAGTAGAAAATAACAAGAATGTACACATAAGCATTGTAGTCACCTGAACTTGCACAACTGGTGATGTGTGGATCTGTTGCAGGTGGTCAAGTGTATGTCTGCTGGCTATAGGCACAGTGCTGCAGTGACAACAGATGGAGAGCTCTACACATGGGGGGAAGGAGACTATGGTCGCCTAGGTATGTAGAGTCATCATCATCATAAACCACTTCTGCCTTTAAGCGTCATGGGGAGGAAAAGTTTGAGATCCAGTGCAGACAGGCTGCCACTGGAAATTGTCATGCAGTGAAGGCGTAGAGTGTCTTTAATGTTGTCGATCCATGTTTTCCCTCCTCTTGTAGCTGATCTTCTGAGCTGTAGTGCTTGTGATGGTATTTGATCTTGCTGCATTCTAAAGAGATGGCCAAACCACTGAAACTGCTTTTCTTGATGAATCTAGTACAAGGTGTCGCTCCCACAATTTGTCTTATAGTGTCATTATTCACTCGATCTCGGATGGTTAGGTTGGCTGCTTTTCTCAGGCATCTCATCTCGCAGGTGGTGATTTTTCGTATATGGGCTTTAAAAAGTGTCCATGTTTGGCACTGGTAGCTTAATGTTGAATATGCTGTTTATAATTTGTCTCTGCACTCATGCTTGGATGTCTTAATAATACAAGTGCTTGTAAAAAAGCTTTTTGTGTGTGTACAATTATATGCTAATTGGACATATGCATTTTTGTAAACAGTCTGAACTTTATTGGAGCTGTGATCAGTAATGTTGGCCACCTTATGCTGGCTGCCTTTACTCCCTAGAACATTTCTTGATACTCATTTTAGAGTGAATTTGGAACCTGGGTCAGTAAGACAAAATTGCTGGGGTGGGGAAGAGGGGTGACTGCCAGCACTACTTGCTGTTAGTAGGTGTCAGAGACCTACTTTACTAATTCATTTTCTATGGCTCGCTAGGTAGGCCAGCTAACAGACTTCACTACTCTACGACACACTTAAGACAAGCACCTGCTGAGTACAAACATAATCTTTAATGTACAACGAACAATACAACTTATTATACCTCAACCGAGTTGGCAGTCCTTATCCTGAACGCCGGTGTTGAGCAGCTTTTACATTCACTGGTCAACCTGAGCCGTTCCCATGGATCCCCAAGGACACGATTCCAAACTAACAGTTTATCAGTGCTGACTAAGCCGCCGTCTATTGCCAAGCGGGACTCAGCGACACATGTAAGGTGTATGGCCTAAGTGTGACTGGGCACTGTTACCGCCATTAACAATGCGTGTCAGACATTCACTGGCTGCTTAACAAATACTGCGTGGAACGTCTACTATACAAGGAAAATTAACTCTACACTCTCTCGTCGAAACATTAAACGGAAACACAGCCTATCTAAAAAATACTAACCACAAATACTATTCAATCTAACCGTCACTAAACTAAGATACGTTTACCCGTCGAAGCGCTACCTCTGGTCCAGTCCAGTCTCTACTACACAACTCCTCCCCAGCACGCTCTGTCCAAGCCTTTTTGTTCCTCTCCTGCATTCATCTCTCGACACACGGTAATACGTATTAACCATGGGACCTGGGCTTCGCAAGTTAACTCGACCCAGTTTATTCCGTGGTCAAGCTGCCCGGTCTCAGACTGAGTTTTACTGAGGGTCAGCTCGTTCATACGTGATGATTCACTATCAACTCCGTTCATCCTGTAGCCGAACTGGCCTCTGACAGTAAGGCTCCTTTGGGTTGTTGCATCAAACAACTGAGCACGCTTGGGGATGCAATCTACAGTAGATTGGGTTAACATAATGACTCGTTTGTGTTGTATTTTATTCATTGTATTTCTGTCTTTTAACTCAACTCATTTAATATTTTGATTGTTGCACTCCCCTGCCCTTCCTTGAGGGCTGAACGTTCTACGTAGGGCTTCCCTAAAGGGGGTAATTCGGTGGCAACACCTGTAGATAAAAGGACAAAAAGGACACCACATTAAACAATGGCCAAAGTCATCCTAGAAATAGGCCTGACGTCTTCTCTCGAAGTCGGAGTACATCTGCCGGTGAGGCAGGGAACGACAAACAAATAAGCCAGTAAAACGGATGTTCACTCAAAACTCAGGTCCAGGTAAAAGCCAAAAGTCCAAATGGATATACTTTCAGGACCTTCCGCCAGAATTCACAGCCGGTGAGCGAAGAAGAAAAAGAAGAAGAAGAAGATGTGTTGCAGTTGGGCGTATTATTGCTTTGTCTGCATAGTACACCAGTAGTCAAGTGACACGTCACTTTTGCCCCCCGATAGTGAGTGACAAGACCTGATGGTGCTGGTCTTTCCTGATCAGCGAAACTTGTTTGAAGTCCTTCATTCTGACTATCGATGCACTTTGTTTTCTGTCATTCATCATCCAGTGTGTATAGTCACACCACAGCCTGATTTATGCATACTCTGTTGTTTTTAATAAATTTGCTGCAGTAGAGAGCTCTACACATAGTGTTTGTGGGAGGAGGAGACTATGGTCTTGTTCGAGTCCAGTCAATACAGTGCTTGAAAGGGGAGGGGGGGGGGGGAGAGAAGACTATGGTCTTGTTTGTCCGAGTCCAGTCAATACAGTGCTTGTTAAAAAGTTTTTTTTTTTTTTTTTGACGATTGGATGCTCATTGGATATATGTTGCTAACACTGCATTTGTCTGTGGAACTAGGTAATTGATCTCACACCAACAATTTTTATTTAAAATGACATGCAGAGTAGGCTGCAAAGATGCTATTCTTTGCTTCTCTTGCCTTCCTGGTAAAATGTTGGTTGATGCCAGTTTTTGATACATTTGTAAATCCTCTTATGTAGAGATAGTGACAGCCTAGCTGTTTAAACTGTGCATCTTTCCTTGCCATCCTCTACTTCTCAGTTAGTCTATTGTCTATCTGTTGTCTTCTTCAGTTTTACCGGGTTGCAGCCCAGTGTCGTGGTTTAAAATATTTGTTTTGTGCCTTTCGCGTGATCTGAGTGACAGTTTTCTGGATCTTCTGGCCGTATTCAGCTACTCCATCTATCCATTTTTTTCTGGGTCTTCCTCTGGCCTTTCTTCCCGATGTTCTACTGTAAAAGGCCTTATAGGCAATCTGATCCGGTTGCATTCTTACTAAATGGCCAAACCACTTCATTCTCTGTCTTTCAATATGTTCCATGCATGCTCTTGTTCCAACTTTGTCTCTAATGCTGACGTTTGTGACTCTGTCTCTTCGTGTTCTCATTTAGTATTCCCCCCAATAATTTGTATTTTTCCATTTCACCTATTCCGTTATGAATTTCAGTTTGCCTGTTATGATTGTGATGAGTGACCTTATAACACCAGCAACATTCAAACATGCAAAACTGGCACACATTATCTCATTCAAACTTAAGAGAGCAGTTAGTGTTGAACTAAAACTTGATCATCATGGGTATGATGTTAAATGTTTATGTTTGTGCAGGTCATGGTGATAAAACATCCAGAAATCTGCCGAAACAAGTGAAGGACATTGGCCTGGTGGGGCAGGTGGCGTGTGGGAGCTCTCATACTCTGGCCATATCTCAGGATGGGAAGACTGTGTGGTCATTTGGAAGTGGGGATAATGGTGAGTCCACAGCACATTCATGCAATCAATGCTAAATTTCAACCATTTTGTCATGAGACAATGATATTTCTACTTTAGCCTCCATTACACATCCTCCGGACACACTTATATAGGCTTTACATCTTTGGTCATTTCCTGCAAAGCCTAGTTATCAGCATTGTTTATGTTTGTACCTGCATGGTGTTTAGGAGGGTAGGATATGATTAAATCTATTACTACTTTTGCTTTTGTTCGCCTGAATTAAGTTGTCTTTATCAGCAGTTTTGTTTCTCATTTAAATTTCACTGTTGTTTTTAGTTCATTTAGTGGTGAAAGAGTTTGTGTTTCACTTTTGTTCTTTCTGGCCAAAAGGTTTACCTTAATGTATTCTATTCAGTGCAGTTATGGAGTACGTGTTCTGCTGTTTGGGGCGAATTTTCACATATGCACATGACTGAAACACCTATCTTAAATTTTGTGTACTACATGTGATTGCATAAACAGTTGTGCCCTGTTTTGAGGTGAAGGTCTTTCCATAACTGAATAGTCATCTTGTGCTGGGGCTGGTTGTTTCCTGATCGATTTAATGATTCCTTTCTTTTGGTGGTGGTATGTCACTGGTACATACCGCTGCTATTTTTTTGCACCTTACCCTGCTAATTGATTGGCTCTCTCATTTCCAGGCACTCCACATTCGGACGGTATCCGCTGCATTGTAGCTCTAATCTTTATGCTTGGTATATACAGTGGCTTTTTTTCAGCTCTTCCATTGCTAGGTTTTGAAATCTATTCTTCATGGGGTGATTGGCATACTGAGCAACTTTTCTGCTTGTATTTACAACTTTGTATTTCTGCTTTCTTTCAGTGACTGTTTTCCCAAGTTTCTCCATTGTTAATATCGGGGTTGATTTCATCTCTCCTGTGATGACTCTGCGCGCTTAGGTTTTGCACTTTGTCCGACACTTTTAATGTAGCACTGGATGCTGAACACCTTGCAGTTGACCCATATTCCAAGTGTGCTTGTATGCTCTGTTTGTATACTTTATTATTCTCCTACTGGCTCCCCATGTGGTTCCACTTAGTTTATTAGTATAGCCTTCTTTCTCCTGACTTTGGTTGTTGCCATGTTGATGTGTCATCAAATGTAACTCTGAGGTAGCTTTATCATCTCTTAGGGGCATTCCATTTGTTTTGATAATGCCTGCTTTTTGCTTTGGGGAGAGGGTAAAGAGTGTGCTGCTTCATTTGTCTGTGTTAATGCTGACACATTGTCTATTCACCCATGCTCTAAGTGCATCTCTAGCATGCTGTAGTAATCTTGGGGCTACCGTTGCATGTTCACTGGTGAACCACAGTATCTGCTTTTGGCATACATTGCCATTTTTATTCCGTTTGGTATTTTAGCAACTAGGTCTTTGATGTAGAACAGGAAAAGTATGGGTGACAGAAACCGCCTCGGGGGAACGCTGTGTCGCAGCAGGCCTTTTTTTTTTTCAACTCTTGAAACAATTTACCTGGACCTGGGCTGTTCTGTTATGTTAAAGTTAGTTGTGTATCCTTTACAGGACATTGCAGAACCAACCCCAATATTTTTTGGCTGTTGTCTAGGCACATTTTATGTTCAGTAGTTTGCCATTGCCTCTGAACTGTCAGCTCTTGGTGCCACTGTCCAAACCAACGCAAGTTAGATTATCAGCAGCTGGGATAGGACACTGCACCATGGCAGAGGGAAATTTCACTGAGTGCTGCCCAAAAGAACAGTTTGTCACAGACTGCTGTTCATAGAATAACGATAATTGCATATGATAATTGGTAGTAGTAAAAGTGTTTTTCCTGTGATTTCTTGATATGTTGGTAGCTGTTGCAGTGAATTTTATGGCAAGTACCAGAAACAGAAGATCTTGTCTTTTCTCATAAGAAATTTGTCAAGTACTGAGTTTTAAACTGCTGAGCTCTAGAATATCATGAAATAAGTGAGCTTACCAAGCAGTCACTACCTGTAAATGTCAGTAGGTAAGAATATACCTCATTAAGTATACTGTGGGTAGTGATGATTCCGTTGTTGCATGGATAGCATTCTACTTGCAGCCTGTTCTGTAGTTCCCCTATTTCCTGAGCTCTTTGTGTTCTGGATAAACCCACAGTTGTGCTGCTAATAAAAATACACCTGTGCTGGTTAAAATAAGGATGCCACTATCAATAGATAGAGACATTTACAACTAATACTCAACTAGGAAAGTCCTAAATTTATTGACAATTCTTGTCTGTCTGTAGGCAAACTTGGCCATGGTGACATGAATCGTCAGACTAAGCCTGTGGTAATCCAGGGATTGAGCGGCATGTACATCCGCAAGGTAGCCTGTAGCAGCCAGACTTCTCTTGCTCTGACATCTACTGGCCAGGTAGGTTGTGCAGCTGCAAGTTTGTTTGTGACTGGGCAAAAATTTACTCACTCAGCAAGTTTATTTGTGATTGGACAAAAATGTACTCATTGAGCAAGTTTGTTTGTGATTGTACCCCATTTTACTCACTTAGCAATTTTGTTTGTGATAGCAGCCGGACATCTCTTGCTCTGACATCTACTGACCAGGTAGGTTGTGCAGCAGCTGCAAGTTTGTTTGTGATTGGGCAAAAATGTACTCACTCAAAGTTTATTTGTGATTGGACAAAAATGTACTCATTGAGCAAGTTTGTTTGTGATTGGACACACATTTACTCACTTACAATTTTGTTTGTTATTGGGCAGACATTGAAACAGTCAGACGTTTGTTTATGATTGGACAGACATTGACTCAGTCAGCAGGTTTTTTTCTAATTAGACAGAAATATACTCAGCAAGTTTGTGATTAGGCAGAAATTTACTCAGCAAGTTTGTGATTAGACAGAAATTTACTCAGCAAGTTTGTGATTAGACAGAAATTTACTCAGCAAGTTTGTGATTAAACAGAAATTTCATAGCAAGTTTGTGATTAGACAGAAATTTACTCAGCAAGTTTGTGATTAGACAGAAATTTACTCAGCAAGTTTGTGATTAGACAGAAATTTACTCAGCAAGTTTGTGATTAGACAGAAATTAGCAAGTTTGTGATTAGACAGAAATTTACTCAGCAAGTTTGTGATTAGACAGAAATTTACTCAGCAAGTTTGTGATTAAACACAAATTTACTTATCAAGTTTGTGATTAGACAGAAATTAGCAAGTTTGTGATTAGGCAGAAATTTACTCAGCAAGTTTGTGATCAGACAGAAATTTACTCAGCAAGTTTGTGATTAGACAGAAATTTACTCAGCAAGTTTGTGATTAGACAGAAATTTACTCAGCAAGTTTGTGATTAGACAGAAATTGACTCAGCAAGTTTGTGATTAGACAGAAATTTACTCAGCAAGTTTGTGATTAGACAGAAATTTACTCAGCAAGTTTGTGATTAGACAGAAATGTGCTCAGCAAGTTTGTGATTAGACAGAAATTTACTCAGCAAGTTTGTTTGTGATTAGACAGAAATTTACTCAGCAAGTTTGTTTGTGATTAGACAGAAATTTACTCAGCAAGTTTGTTTGTGATTAGACAGAAATTTACTTAGCAAGTTTGTGATTAGACAGAAATTTACTCAGCAAGTTTGTTTGTGATTAGACAGAAATTTACTCAGCAAGTTTGTGATTAGACAGAAATTTACTCAGCAAGTTTGTTTGTGATTAGACAGAAATTTACTCAGCAAGTTTGTGATTAGACAGAAATTTACTCAGCAAAGTTTTATGATTAGACAGAAATTCACTCAGCAAGTTTGTGATTAGACAAAAATTTACTCAGCAAGTTTATGATTAGACAGAAATTTACTCAGCAAGTTTGTGATTAAACAGAAATTTACTCAGCAGGTTTGTTTGTGATTAGACAGAAATTTACTCAGCAGGTTTGTTTGTGATTAGACAGAAATTTACTCAGCAAGTTTGTTTGTGATTAGACAGAAATTTACTTAGCAAGTTTGTGATTAGACAGAAATTTACTCAGCAAGTTTGTGATTAGACAGAAATTAGCAAGTTTGTGATTAGACAGAAATTTACTCAGCAAGTTTGTTTGTGATTAGACAGAAATTTACTCAGCAAGTTTGTGATTAGACATAAATGTGCTCAGCAAGTTTGTGATTAGACAGAAATTTACTCAGCAAGTTTATGATTAAACAGAAATTTACTCAGCAAGTTTGTTTGTGATTAGACAGAAATTTACTCAGCAAGTTTGTGATTAGACAGAAATTTACTCAGCAAGTTTGTGATTAAACAGAAATTTACTCAGCAAGTTTGTGATTAGACAGAAATTTACTTAGCAAGTTTGTGATTAGACAGAAATTTACTCAGCAAGTTTGTGATTAGACAGAAATTTACTCAGCAAGTTTGTGATTAGACAGAAATTTACTCAGCAAGTTTGTGATTAGACTGAAATTTACTCAGGAAGTTTTATGATTAGACAGAAATTTACTCAGCAAGTTTATGATTAGACAGAAATTTACTCAGCAAGTTTGTGATTAGACAGAAATTTACTTAGCAAGTTTGTGATTAAACAGAAATTTACTCAGCAAGTTTGTGATTAGACAGAAATTTACTCAGCAAGTTTGTGATTAAACAGAAATTTACTCAGCAAGTTTGTGATTAGACAGAAATTTACTTAGCAAGTTTGTGATTAAACAGAAATTTACTTAGCAAGTTTGTGATTAGACAGAAATTTACTCAGCAAGTTTACTCAGTCAGCAAGTTTATGATACAAACAGTTTTTAAATATGCCTGTTGGTAATAGTAGAGAATTTTTTACATTTGCTTGTGAAGTAGCTACGGTGCATTAGATATCATAACTGTTTTAAAGACAAAAATAAACACATATCTAGTATCTGAAATGGTAGCAAACCCCATGTGTAGGAACAAAGGATATATTTTGTGTAATAACAAATGCTCTATAATAATCTGGCCTATGTTTCTTTCAGGTGTATGCCTGGGGAAGTGGTGCCTGTCTGGGCTTTGGTTTGGCAGACATCACGGCCATGTCACCAAAGTTGATAGAAGATCTGCAAGGAATCCGTGTCATGGACATTACTATTGGGGACAGTCACTGTCTGGCGCTGTCCTATGGTGTGTTTATAGAGGTTTCTTTATCAAAGGGGATAGTTTATGTGTGCACAACCAGAGGCCATAACTTATGTGTGCCCTAGCAGGTCCTTTGTAGAATGTTGCTCTCATCACGGTCTGCCTAAAAAATAACTCAGTCTCTCACCAGCTCTCCCGTCCTGTGCACGTTCATACCATGACTTCTGCTATTATTTTTTCGAACTGCCATGATGCTTAATATGGCCAAAATATTTCAACTTCTGAAACAAGACACATGCTTGACCAGGGGATTAGTTTATGTTACTTGCCAAAGGTGATAGACGTCACATGCTTGACCAGGGGATTAGTTTATGTTACTAGCCAAAGGTGATAGATGTCACATGCTTGACCAGGAGATTAGTTTATCTTACTAGCCAAAGGTGATTGACATCACATGCTTGACCAGGGGATTAGTTTATGTTATGAGTCAAAGGTGATAGACGTCACATGCTTGTGACCAGGGGATTAGTTTATGTTACGAGTCAAAGGTGATAGACGTCACATGCGTGACCAGGGGATTAGTTTATGTTATGAGTCAAAGGTGATAGACATCACATGCTTGACTAGGGGATTAGTTTATGTTATGAGCCAAAGGTGATAGACGTCACATGCGCGACCAGGGGATTAGTTTATGTTATGAGTCAAAGGTGATAGACGTCACATGCTTGTGACCAGGGGATTAGTTTATGTTACGAGTCAAAGGTGATAGACGTCACATGCGTGACCAGGGGATTAGTTTATGTTATGAGTCAAAGGTGATAGACATCACATGCTTGACTAGGGGATTAGTTTATGTTATGAGCCAAAGGTGATAGACGTCACATGCGCGACCAGGGGATTAGTTTATGTTATGAGTCAAAGGTGATATACGTCACATGCTTGACTAGGGGATTAGTTTATGTTATGAGTCAAAGGTGATAGACGTCACATGCTTGACCAGGGGATTAGTTTATGTTATGAGTCAAAGGTGATAGATGTCACTTGCTTGTGACCAGGAGATTAGTTTATCTTACTAGCCAAAGGTGATAGACGTCACATGCTTGACCAGGAGATTAGTTTATGTTACTAGCCAAAGGTGATAGACGTCACATGCTTGACCAGGGGATTAGTTTGTTACTAGCCAAAGGTGATAGACGTCACATGCTTGACCAGGGGATTAGTTTATGTTACTAGCCAAAGGTGATAGACGTCACATGCTTGACCAGGGGATTAGTTTATGTTACTAGCCAAAGGTGATAGACGTCACATGCTTGACTAGGGGATTAGTTTATGTTACGAGTCAAAGGTGATAGACGTCACATGCTTGACCAGGGGATTAGTTTATGTTATGAGTCAAAGGTGATAGACGTCACATGCTTGACTAGAGGATTAGTTTATGTTATGAGTCAAAGGTGATAGACGTCACATGCTTGATCAGGGGATTAGTTTATGTTATGAGCCAAAGGTGATAGACGTCACATGCTTGACTAGAGGATTAGTTTATGTTATGAGCCAACGGTGATAGACGTCACAAGCGTGACCAGGGGATTAGTTTGTTACTAGCCAAAGGTGATAGACGTCACATGCTTGGCTAGGGGATTAGTTCATGTTACTAGCCAAAGGTGATAGACGTCACATGCTTGACCAGGGGATTAGTTTATGTTATGAGTCAAAGGTGATAGACGTCACATGCTTGTGACCAGGGGATTAGTTTATGTTACGAGTCAAAGGTGATAGACGTCACATGCGTGACCAGGGGATTAGTTTATGTTATGAGTCAAAGGTGATAGACATCACATGCTTGACTAGGGGATTAGTTTATGTTATGAGCCAAAGGTGATAGACGTCACATGCGCGACCAGGGGATTAGTTTATGTTATGAGTCAAAGGTGATATACGTCACATGCTTGACTAGGGGATTAGTTTATGTTATGAGTCAAAGGTGATAGACGTCACATGCTTGACCAGGGGATTAGTTTATGTTATGAGTCAAAGGTGATAGATGTCACTTGCTTGTGACCAGGAGATTAGTTTATCTTACTAGCCAAAGGTGATAGACGTCACATGCTTGACCAGGAGATTAGTTTATGTTACTAGCCAAAGGTGATAGACGTCACATGCTTGACCAGGGGATTAGTTTGTTACTAGCCAAAGGTGATAGACGTCACATGCTTGACCAGGGGATTAGTTTATGTTACTAGCCAAAGGTGATAGACGTCACATGCTTGACCAGGGGATTAGTTTATGTTACTAGCCAAAGGTGATAGACGTCACATGCTTGACTAGGGGATTAGTTTATGTTACGAGTCAAAGGTGATAGACGTCACATGCTTGACCAGGGGATTAGTTTATGTTATGAGTCAAAGGTGGTAGACGTCACATGCTTGTGACCAGGGGATTAGTTTATGTTACGAGTCAAAGGTGATAGACGTCACATGCTTGATCAGGGGATTAGTTTATGTTATGAGCCAAAGGTGATAGACGTCACATGCTTGACTAGAGGATTAGTTTATGTTATGAGCCAACGGTGATAGACGTCACAAGCGTGACCAGGGGATTAGTTTGTTACTAGCCAAAGGTGATAGACGTCACATGCTTGGCTAGGGGATTAGTTCATGTTACTAGCCAAAGGTGATAGACGTCACATGCTTGACTAGGGGATTAGTTTATGTTACTAGCCAAAGGTGATAGACGTCACATGCTTGACTAGGGGATTAGTTTGTTACTATCCGAAGGTGATAGACGTCACATGCTTGACCAGGGGATTAGTCTATGTTACTAGCCAAAGATGATAGACGTCACATGCTTGACCAGGGGATTAGTTTATGTTATGAGTCAAAGGTGATAGACGTCACATGCTTGACTAGGAGATTAGTTTATGTTATGAGCCAAAGGTAATAGACGTCACATGCTTGACCAGGGGATTAGTTTATGTTACGAGTCAAAGGTGATAGACGTCACATGCTTGACTAGGGGATTAGTTTATGTTATGAGCCAAAGGTGATAGACGTCACATGCTGGACCAGGATATTAGTTTATGTTACTATTAGTTTACATCAACTTATAAAGTTCTCGAAATTAAACTAAACTCCTCCAGATGCTGTAGTTTATTTCAACTCATCTAAATGCCGTAATTTATTTAAACTCACCAGATTGCTGTGTGTTTAACTCACTATGTTGTCACTGTTTATTTGACCTCATCAGATTGCTGTGTGTTTAACTCATTATGTTGTCACTGTTTATTTGACCTCATCAGATTGCTGTGTGTTTAACTCATTATGTTGTCACTGTTTATTTAACCTCATCAGATTGCTGTGTGTTTAACTCATGTTGTCTGTTGTGTGTTTAACTCATTATGTTGTCACTGTTATTTGACCTCATCAGTCACTGTTTATTTGACCATCAGATTGCTGTGTGTTTAACTCATTATGATGTCACTGTTTATTTGACCTCATCAGATTGCTGTGTGTTTAACTCATTATGTTGTCACTGTTTATTTGACCTCATCAGATTGCTGTGTGTTTAACTTATTATGATGTCACTGTTTATTTGACCTCATCAGATTGCTGTGTGTTTAACTCATTATGATGTCACTGTTTATTTGACCTCATCAGATTGCTGTGTGTTTAACTTATTATGTTGTCACTGTTTATTTGAACTCATCAAGTTGACATTAAAAACTTAAGTGGGGACACAAAAATTAAAGGGTCCTTTTCCACGCCTTAAGTCTTATTGGCATATAGGACTAGACCTATATTTAATAAATGAATTAGCACTCGGTTATGGAGTCAACATCATGCTGGCCGCCTTAATTTCCCAGCACTGTACCTGGTACCCACTCAGGACTAGGCCAACCCGTGAGCCAAGGTCATTTCTAAGAAGAAAAAAAAAGGCCAGGCTCCATGAGGAACCGAACCCACAACGTTCCGATCCGCAGGTGAGCATCTAGCCTGTACACCAAGTGGGCTTTCCAAGTTATTGTTAAGGCATTTAAAATTCATCCAGATGCCATACAGTTGATCAAACTATCATAGTTTATTTCAGCACAACCATCCATGAGTTTGCTTAGACTTGGATATAATTCTTATCAGTATGATTTTTGTTTGCCAATGGATCTTAGGTCCTCAGCCTTCCAATGCTTTGTTGTCTCTTTTTATAGTTGGCCAAATTATTTCTCTTTGGAAACGCATTCAGCGTTCCTTGGATTGTTAACCAGGATTGGGAAGATGACTGGCCCAGTGATTAGAGCACTGGGCTATCATACAGGAGACCTGGGTTTGGTCCTCAGTAAGTGATGAAGGTTTTTCTGTCAGGGCCAGAAATAAAAATCCTAACCTTCACAGTACGTGGTGACTGTATGATCCCTGCAGTGTTCTTCAACCCTTAGGCTTATGACCCCCCCCCCCCCCCCCCTTCCTTTTCCGGTCATAAACCACTCTAAAAGTAGTAAATAAAGACAATTTTGGAGGCAGTTAACTATGATTGGAGTGGTTGGCTGCTGTTGAGAATTGACTAGTTCCAGGGCTTATCACATTAACCCTTTCGCTGCTATGTTCCTGGAAATAGCTGTCTGCCCTGTGCTAAGCAATGTGAAAAAAAAAGTCTCTGCTGTGCGCAATACTTTTCTATCCTCTAAACGCAAGAGATGCGTCGGCGGTGAGGGCTTTATTTTGTACACCTAAAATTTTTTACCCTGGGGAGTTGTGTGGTTGGTCCGAGTGGTGACAAGTCAGAGGCACGATGGTGCCCCACAGACTTGGTTATCGCCTCTTGGGGGTGGGGGAGGGGGGGAGTGGGGAATTAATGGGAAGAACTGTTCCTAGTCCGTATCCCAAAATTTGATTGACAAACCTTCCATGGTTGCCACTTTAATCAGTTATTTGTAGTCACTATGTTATTACATACCAAAATAATAATTTAAAAAAAAATAATAATACTTGAGTCATCCGTTGCTAAAAAGTAGCAGGAGTTGAAAGAACAATTTACAATAATAATAATTTTAAAAAAAACACACACACAACTTTGGGGGTTGAACACACGACCATCTGATTCTAAGGCGGACGTGATATCAACTACACTATGCTACCGATTGACTCATTCTGCTGTGTGAATGATAATAATAACTTATTTGCGCAGACTATCAATAACGTGTCTAATTTTGTAATCTATCGCCGCCCGCATGAGCACTGTTGTCTGAGAAATGTTTGAGATTCTTACCAATAGTAAAAATATATCCCTTGACATTATTTAACGGGAGTTTTTAGCAAACAGTCTTTGCTCAAGTACTCTAATTTGAATTTCTTTGTTTGAAGCATTAGCAAATAGACATCGTCCGAATCTGTGTCTGTCCATCGGGAAAGACGAGAATTTATAGTGACTGAACTGTTTGAATTTACAGTAGCAGAAATACAGCCAGAGCTGGAGTCATCAAAATTATGCACTACTGGTATCAAATCATCGGTTAACCAAGACAACTGATCAATTCATTGCCTTTTTGATGGCGCTTCATTGTTGCTGCTCTCTGATTCCGATGATGTGCCTCATCATGAGGACGTCGGACAGGCAAACAGCTTTTTCTTGGACGCGCCGGTTTGAGCCGTCGATATTGATGGCCTAGTCAAATCTTTTTGTTCACTGTCAGAAGTACACATTTCAAAGTCATCTTCGCTATCACTTCTTGACAGAAACTCCATCAATTCCTCATCAACTTTAACAAGTTTTCTTGCCATTTTGTACTAAGTGTAGAATAATCCAAAAGCACAAATATATATCAGGGCACAAACTACGCAGATCACCGACCACGCTGTCACGGTAAATAAAGCAACGGGATAACGCAAAATGCAGTAAACATGCCTTAAACACACCTACAATCACATGCCAGTGCTTTTAATCATATGTAAATGAGTCAGTTTTATCTAAATATAGCTAATGTATATTGGCCTTCAGCCAATAAAATACCAGGTAAGAGAAATCTGTCAGAAAAGTCCAAAAACGGCTTGTGCCGTCCATAGCACTGGGGGTCAAGAAAGAAAATAACGTCCAAAGACGGGCGTAGCAGCATACGGGAAATCGGGAAAAGACGTCCATAGCCGCGAAAGGGTTAATGACATGGGTAAACCTGTTGGTTCAGTCTGACTACAATCCCAAAGCTGTTAGGTTATAACATAAAAACTTGGCCACTACTAACAAGGACTATCTTTAGCCAACTCTGTGCTACCAGGGAAGCTGCCATGGTACAGCGGCTAGATGCTCACCTGCCGATCCCAAGGTTGTTTGTTCAAACCTGACTGGAGTGGGACTGTTTTCAGAAATGACCTTGGTTCCCAGGTCAGCTCAGCTTAAATGGGTACCAGGTAAAGTTAGGGAAAGCAAGAATGATATTGACCATGTCACCCCCAGAGTGCTGGTTGACCTATAAAATATATGTCTAGAACTATATGCCTGAAGCCATGCAAGGGTCTTTTACTTTTTACTTTATGCAGGCAGAGTCAAACATGGACTCCTGCCACAACTGATGAGTTAAAAGCGGCCAGAGTAGCAAGGAGAAAAAAAACTTAAAAATAAAGAAATCAGAAGGCACTGACAGAAATTAGTCATGTGTTTATTTAAAAAGCAACAGATGAGATGGTTGGGCTGTCTGACAAAAAGACCCTGTTACCAGAGAGCCACCCTGAAGAAATATTATGTACACAGCACAAGGGAATGACTAAGAATTAAGATAAAATTACAGCATGAACAGCCTTAAAGAAGGAAAGAGTAACCTTTGAGGTGCATTAGAATGAGCTCACAGAAGATCCTTATTGCCCCCTCCCCCATACAGATAACTGACGAAAGATAAACTTCGCTAGACCCTTTAGAGCAGATAAGAATGTCTGCTGTCCCATTGTGTATATAGATGAAGATTTTGAGTTGCCAAGAGGCACCGAAATCACATATTTGTTCATGTTGTGTGTCACAGATAATGAAGTCTATGCCTGGGGTAATAATGCCATGGGCCAGTGCGGTCAAGGTCACGCTCAGAGTCCGGTCACCAGACCCCGTAAAGTGATTGGCCTTGATGAGGCTCACATCCAACAGGTTTCAGCCGGGACGTCACACAGTATAGCTACAACCGCTCTCCCTTATGATCGGTGAGTTCATCTACATTATCCACATTGTGTTTACTCCTTTATGCTGCACTTGACTGTTTTTGTAAGTCATTTTGTGTATCTTGGCGTTTTATTTATTTTTTATTTAAAAAAAAAATTAATTACTGAAATATTTGGAAAAATGAAGGCAAGGGAACTGTTTTTTAATGCATTATTTTATTATGTTTCCTCTGAGACAAATTGCTCCATCAAGTGCTGTTTCTATTAATGCAAATTTTGTTATGAAAGGTAGGGGTAAATACTGTAAATCAGTAAAGTCAGGGTGTAACCATAATATTAATTTCTTAACATTAAGTTTATGGGATTTCGTAAAGCTGTATTTATGGTTTATGACATGTTTTAATACGTGTATATTAAAGGGTGCTCATCAGCTTATCGCAGAATAATACAGTGGAACCTCGCTTGACGAGCATAATTCGTTCCAGAATCATTTTCGTTAAGCGAAACACTTGTTATGCGAAACAATTTTTCTCATATAAATTAATGTAAAATACGATAATGCATTCCAAGTCAAAAAAAATACTTACAAAGTGCTATGTATAACGTTTATTCAAAGAAAATTTTATACATATTGTTAAGGAGAGTGAATCATCTTCAAATTTTCTTCAAATGCAGAACGAACCCACCTGGAATGCGAATTCGATTTGCAGAAAAAAAGTTAAAAAAATTATGATACATAGCTAATTTTTTCTTTTACTGTAAAGATGTCCAGAGACATTTGTTTTTGCCGATGCTTAAAACTTAGGCGAAAATGTGACACAGCATTATCATTTAATAAATTTGCAACGCCCATAGCCACTTTTCCTCATTAGGATGATTCTTCTCAATGTGAGATGCAACAGTTTGCCATGCTTTCAGCACTTCTCTTATTTCGTCAGAAGATTGTTGCTTTTCCTCCTCTGACAAACTTTCCTCCAGAACTTCTTGCTGTGAAAGACAATGCAACTCGATGAGCTCTTGGATGGTCAGCTCTTGGCTGTGCTCTTCCACAAGCTCTTCGATATCACTGCTATCCACCTACAATTCCATGACAGTGGCTAAAGACACAATCTCGTTGACTACAGGTTCCACAGCTACTGTCTCTAACCCCTCAGTCACAAATCAACAACGCTCTCCGGCTAAAGCTTCTTCTAAGCAGAAATTAGGGTTCCCTAGGTAACCCCTTTCCCCACCTTGTCGATCATCTTGAGGCAGGCAACAATATGGAAGTGATTTTTTTCCAAAACTCTTTGAGTGTGAGGTTGGTCCCTTCAGTTAGCTGAAAACAATGCTCAAAGATTGCTTTAGTGTTAGCTTTTTAAAGTTAGAAATAACTTGCTGGTCCATAGGCTGGAGAAATGGAGTGGTGTTGGGAGGCAGAAACCCTATCTTGCTGAACTTAAATTCTTCAGGGAGGTTATCTTGTAGGACTGGAGGATTCATGTACATATATCACAATATAACACAAGTTTGAGAAAATGTGTGATCACAAGCGACACTACGATGCAACTGGAACGAGTGCTAAACACAGACTGACGTAACATGCTCACAATTCGGGACTTCCCCTCTCCTCGCCACTCGTTATGCAAAACGTCGCTCGTTAAGCGAGTCATTTTTTTACAAATTGTTTTGCTCGTTATGCGAATTACTCGTTATGAGAGGTGCTCATTAAGCGAGGTTTTACTGTAATACTAAAACCTACCATGAAATAGTAGTTAAAGAGGGTAGGTGTTGTCAGAAACATGAGCAAACATTGACATTTAGTAGAGAGATAAACAAAAATGTCTAAATTGAGAATTGTCAGAAGTAATGTATACACAAGACATATATAGGGCACAGAAACTGAGACAGTGATCAAGCAATTAGAAAGTTGAGGGCTCTGGAAATACAAGCTTTACATTAAGAGATTCTGGAGTGGCCGGAAATACTTGTTGAAAGAAATAAAAGCAGAAACAATGGAAATAATTTGGCCACATTAACAGACAAGAGACTGATAAAAATTTTTACTGGAGGGAAAAATTAAAAGAAGCAAGCCTCGAGTTCTAATTCCCGTGTGTTGTGTGCTGTTCAGTTGTACCAGGGGTCAGAAGCATGATCACCTACACCTGTCATAAAGGTGCTAGATGATGATGGTGGTAACAGAGACGAGGGCAAATGGTCCACACCACTTTGAAGTTGTGAGACAAGTGTTTCTTGAGGGTAAAGGCGGTCTTCACGGGTATTGCAAGACCCAAGCGAGACCGGCCGCTGAGCTGAAGGTTAATCTGTGTCCAGTCAGTGGAAATTTAAATTAAACAGATTAGACGATTCTCAAGAGAGTTGCTGGCTTTTTTTAAAAATTATGGCTAGACTTGATGGCAATAATCTCCATACCAAGACACCTCGCTGACCCTGAGAATGAAAATTAATTAATTGTAAGCGGTCAGTTGTCGAGTGACATGCTAAAACATTCAGTCATTGGCTTGTTTGCAGACATGTGGTTGCCTGGCACAAACCCTTTTGTGTAGATCTTCAGGAAGCAACCTTCTCAGTTCTGGGAACATTCCTAGAGCATTACTGTGATGGATTTGACTGCCCAGAGCCTCCTCCTCCATTTCAAAACAGGCAGTAAGAATTTCCCTTATTTGTTTTCTCATGTTTATGAGACACTGTACTTTTAATATTACAATAAATATGTATCGTTTTATGGATATCAAAAAAAAACCAACACAAATAATTGTCACAAAAAGTTTTGGAGCAAATTATGACAGATAAAAAGATCAGACCAGTTTGAGTCAGAGGGGAAACAATTCTTGAGTGAAGCAGTTTTGGAGCTAATTATGAAAAATATGAAGATCAGACCAGTTTGAGTCAGAGGGAAAACAATTCTTGAGTGAAGCAGTTTTGGAGCTAATTATGAAAAATATGAAGATCAGACCAGTTTGAGTCAGAGGGAAAACAATTCTTGAGTGAAGCAGTTTTGGGGCAAATTATGACAAATATGAAGATCAGGCAGGTTGGAGTCAGAGGGAAAACAATTCTTGAGTGGTTTCTAGATTGATGTTGAGAATTTCCCATGTGGGTTCTAGGTTCCCTTTGTAGGGAATAGATTCACTGGCCCCCAAACAAGCAGGTCGTAAAAGGCGACTAATTAGGGTTGTTTCCTCTGAAGTCAGAGTGCATCTTCCTGAGTGAGCAACCTATAGCGCACACACACAAATAAGCCCCATTTGTTTAAAAAAAATTCTGCAGGCAAAATCAAGTTTTGGAACAAGAGTCCATAAGAGGACAAGCAACTCTAGCTTTCCACTGGATTTTTCTGTCGGTGAACGCTAAAAACAAGAAGGCATGGAGAACTTCTTTTTTCTTCTTTCTTCTTCGCGTTCACCAGCTGTACACTCTGGCGGAAAGTTCTGGTTGCTCGTCCACTACTGAACTGCAGTCCTGCTCCAAAACCTGAGTGTTGCGTGTGCATCAGTTTGACAGATCTTGTTCTCTTGAATACAGACTGTTGGTTCCTTGCCTCTCTGGCAGATGCACTCCGACTTCAAAGGAAGCTCCCCAATTAGTCGACTCTTATGACATGCTTTTGGGAAGGCAGTGGGTCTATTCTTGTTGTTCCCCACAATGGGGCCCCGGAACCCACACGGGGGATGGAGAACAATCAGTGGTTGAACTCTAAGAATGGATCACTATTGAGTAAAATGACTGCATGAAGTGGGGGACGCATTAGCTTGATGACGATGACTATTTAAATGTACTTAATTTGACTGCTTTTTTGTAGTTTATGGTTTATTCTGGCTTTTAACTGTGTCATGTTATCAGGAGATTATATGTGAGAGAAACAGCTTCATGCTCCATATTTGATCCGTATCCAACTTGGTTTTTCTAGACAGAACAGCTGACTGTCTGCTGGGAGCATTTCACAGAGCACAACATCACAGTTCAAGAGATGATGATCAGAGCTCTGAAGAAACTGACACTCATGGACCAAGCAAACAAAGACCATTCAGAACATGACACAGACCACATAACAGGGAGACATGCCTTTTATGAGAGACATTGGATAAAGATATGACTCACTAATAAAAACACACACAAGAAAATCTTCATCATCAATTTCCACTTCTGCCATTAAGCGTTGTTTAGAGGAACAGTTTGTCATCCACTGCTTGATGGGCAGCATTGGCTATTGTCATTCTGTATTGATGTGAAGCTCTTTAATGTCATCAGTCTATGTTCTCCTAGATCGGCCTCTTGCATTCACTTCAGATCTTCTCATGTGTAGCGCCTGCAATAAATGGGAAGCGAAATGGGCAGTCTGTGGCTAATGCATGTTTATTTGTCTCCTCAGACAACATCACAAGTTTGTCCTTCTGTGTCTGAAACTTCTTTCCTCCCATCTGTCTCTGGCCTTGACCTGCGGACTAGGAAGTGAAGTTCTTGGCAGTCAGACACGGCCTCTCCGAGTGCTGCTGTTTAGACTGGTGGACACCCACCCTCCAGAACCTATAAAGAAGGTAAGTACATTTTGTGAGCTTATCAGATTCTTTTGTATCATTAAAATAGTGAAGTGGCCATCAATGTAGTGTGATTGCAGAGAGGTGATCCTTTCTGTGGCGCCATTACAGGGAGGTGATTCTTACTGTGGTGCTATTACAGGTAGTTGATTCTTTCTGTGGCACCATTACAGGGAGGTGATTCTTTTTATGGCTCCGTTACAGGGAGATGATCCTTTCTTTGGCACCATTACAGGGAGGTGATCCTTTCTTTGGCACCATTACAGGGAGGTGACCCTTTCTATGGCACCATTTTAGGGAGATGAGCCTTTCTGTGGCACCAGTACGGGGAGGTGATCCTTTCTTGGCACCATTACAGTGAGGTGGTCCTTTCTGTGGTGGCATTATGGTTAGTAATTTTTTCTGTGGCACCATTACAGTGAGATAATCCTTTCTGTGTCACCATTACAGGGAGATGATCCTTTCTGTGGCATCATCTGTTCGACTAGATGTGAGATGCATGGGAGTCCCAACACATTTAGTGCATCGAATGGAATCTCTTTACTGTAAAAAATAATCAGCAGTCAAAGTAGCTGGTAAAACATCAGATTGGTTTGAGGTGCAGAGAGGAGTAAGACAGGGCTGCATTCTTTCTCCATCCCTTTCTAACTCTTTCCGTTCCAAGGAGCAAATCATACTTGGGCCTCTGATGCTAAACCCTATGGAACTAAAAGAGTTAATATAAATGCCTAAAATTTGATAATAAATTCAATTAGTGAAGAGGCCTGAGACAGGTTCGATCCACTCAAAATTGGAGATGGACCTTTCCCAGAACTCAGATTTGCAGATGAGACAGTCCTCCTTTTCATCAGTGTGCAAGATTTAGAAAAATTAATTTTGAATGTCAAAAAGCACAGTCAAGAAGTAAATCTATTTCTGAATCTGAAAAGAAAAAGAAAAAACTAAAATTATGTCCACATTGAATACAGCACACGTATTGAAATCGACAGTGAAGATATTGAACAACTGTACAAAAGAAGTCAGAAAAAGACCAGCTTTAGCAGTGCAGAAGCTAGACAGCTTGAAGAACCTATGTCATAGCACCTGCAAGCAAGCAAAGTAAACAGTTTGGATCATGAACCTTTCTCATGGCAACTAATGGATGTCTCACTCGGTCTTTGAAGAAGAAAAATTGTGACTTTTGAACTGAAATGCTATTAAGTATGTCACCATCCTACATGTCCTGAGCATGGAGAACTGCCTGGTAAACAGCATCTGCTCCCAAAAGCCGAGGTATTTCATGTCAAGCGACATGATGGTCTTGAGAGAATGTGAATGGAGGAGGAAGTTTCCGGAAGATGAGGCAGAGGCGGACCTCTGAGAGCGTGGATACAGGACAATGAAGATGCTGTGAAAACACCGGGCTGGAGAATAGGCTAGAGAAAGAGAGACTTTTAGGTTTGCCGTGAAGAGAGCGACATTTTGTGAGGAACCTGCTATTGACTTAATTGTTCTGTGCATGTGACAGAATATGACTAGTTCCTATGTTGTTCTCATACATAGACTGTCACTGATACACTTGCCATTGGTGCATCGTTGCTGTTGCCTCCACTGAAAGAGAGAATGGAACTCTTGCATTCACTGCTGCCACAGGGTCCAGGCAGCTGGGAGTCTCTGACGGCTGGACAGGTCTGTCTGTCTGCGTGTTTGTTTGTCCTCCTGTTTGCAGTGCTTATGTCATTATGTGATTTTTATAATATCTTGCATCTAGTAGAAAAATAGTTATTGTGCAGTATTTTACAGAGTACTGAAGGAAAGACTTAAAAATACAGTAGACTGCAAAATCCGACTAGATATGGTAGAATAGTTTAAGCCGGATAACAAAAAGCTGATTATATTAGAATTCTGTAAATATTCAGTTTTATACACCACCTATATAATTAAAAACACAATTTTGATACCCAAACCAGCTCTTATTCAAATTTTCTGACCTCTTAATAAAGTACTTTTCTAGAAGTTTCTTATGTATTGTACTGTACCTTGTAATAATTTATTATGGGGAAAAAAGGAAGTAAAAAATAACAATATTTCTTGTATTTTAAAATCAAATATATAATGTCCAACTTAACTGGAGGAAAATAAAATCATATGACACCTGCTAGCAACGACTTTTCAGAGTAAATTATTCTTTATTTTCATGATAATTAATCTCAAGGACTATCATATACCAAGGAAAAGAAGGTCCAAAGGCTAACAGTTTCATTAAAGAACTACTATTTTCCGACGACCAAGCACTAATTGCTACTTCAGAAACTAAACTGCAAACCCATATAAACTATTTAAACAAATCTGCAAACATCATAACATGAAATTAATGCCAACCAAAAAAAAGATCATGACTATAGCCAAAGGAAACACAACAATAAATTTCCAGCTCACAGAACAACACAATCTGAAATAAACCAAGAAATTAGGAGGCATAATATCATCAGCTGGCAGAGCAGAAGATAAGACTGATGACAGATGAAACAGAACAAACCAAATCAGTGGGCTAATGACACCAATACTAAAAAACAAACAGAAGATAAGACTGATGACAGATGAAACAGAGCAAACCAAATCAGTGGGTTAATAGCACCAATACTAAAAAAAACAAGCAGAAGATAAGACTGATGACAGATGAAACAGAGCAAACCAAATCAGTGGGTTAATAGCACCAATACTAAAAAAACAAGCAGAAGATAAGACTGATGACAGATGAAACAGAGCAAACCAAATCAGTGGGTTAATAGCACCAATACTAAAAAACAAGCAGAAGATAAGACTGATGACAGATGAAACAGAGCAAACCAAATCAGTGGGTTAATGACACCAATACTAAAAAACAAGCAGAAGATAAGACTGATGACAGATGAAACAGAGCAAACCAAATCAGTGGGTTAATAGCACCAATACTAAAAAAACAAGCAGAAGATAAGACTGATGACAGATGAAACAGAGCAAACCAAATCAGTGGGTTAATAGCACCAATACTAAAAAACAAGCAGAAGATAAGACTGATGACAGATGAAACAGAGCAAACCAAATCAGTGGGTTAATAGCACCAATACTAAAAAACAAGCAGAAGATAAGACTGATGACAGATGAAACAGAGCAAACCAAATCAGTGGGTTAATGACACCAATACTAAAAAACAAGCAGAAGATAAGACTGATGACAGATGAAACAGAGCAAACCAAATCAGTGGGTTAATAGCACCAATACTAAAAAAACAAGCAGAAGATAAGACTGATGACAGATGAAACAGAGCAAACCAAATCAGTGGGTTAATGACACCAATACTAAAAAACAAGCAGAAGATAAGACTGATGACTGATGAAACAGAGCAAACCAAATCAGTGGGTTAATAGCACCAATACTAAAAAACAAGCAGAAGATAAGACTGATGATGTGTGGCACAGCTGCCTCCTTTGCTGCCTATTCTGATTTCGCACCCAGGTTCGTGTTTAAGTTTGCCAAAAGGGTTGCCGATGATGATGTTAAAGATGAGAATAGGGATAGTCGTGTCGATAATGGTTATGATGATGACAGTGCCTTGTTAGTCGCATACTTCTCACTCAACTCTAAGGCTTGTGAAGAGAATCGTTCTAAAACACAACTGTTCTAGTCTGAAATTTTTATTGTGACACTTCAGCAATGACACAAACAATATCAAAAATATTTGGAATAGCGCTGTGTTCTACCTATGGTTACGTACTCTTAGTACTATACTAACTGGTTCTAATGTCTCAACTGCCACCGGGCTCCTAGTGCGGGTTGGTCTAGTGAGTTTTCATTTTTTCTTTTTAAATACAACAGGGGATCTCCGGGAAGTCTGGCCTATGTGTAGTTTTAGTTTATTGGGCTCCTGCTTCTTCTTCTTCTTCGTCTGACCCCGAGTCAGTATCCACTCCCGAATCTGGCTGGGCCCATGGTGGGTTAAAACAAATATCAAATTGCCTTACTAACAAAGTGTGCACACGCTCTACTCCGTTTTCATATGTAAATACTAATGTTACTTCTTGAACAAGTCCACGGTTCCTGACGTAAATTTTTATCGCGTACATCTGTTTCAGGTAACTAACGAATCCAACTCTACTATAATTTCTAATTAACCTGCCCTCAAGCCTGACTTCCCTTTCTGTTCTGTTGGCCGGCGCTTCTCTCCTCTATGGGGTCCGGGCAGTCGTTTATAAAGGCGCTACTAACCTGCTCCCAGGACCCTCCAGCCACATGTTTTGCAGAGTCTGCAGCGACTTTAGCTAGCCGGGTCAGTGAAGGTATTCCAACAATGTGAAAAACAACTTATTGCTTTTGGGCTGGACGGGGGAGTCACGTGATGTCTAGACAGACGGCTGGAAGTATCGTGGGAACCAAGGACAGGGACCTAGGTAGTTTTAGTCGATCACTAAGCTCAGTGGCAAAGTTTCAAAAACAAGGGTGAAGGCCATGATGGGCCTTGTCGTGCAGACAGCACAACACTAAAACCTAGTATGGGTATTGACCCTACTACAGACAGGTGAAACAGAGCAAACTAAATCATTTCTTCATTCATTCATTTATCTACACCTGCAGATGTCAGTGCATTCTTGTTTGTTTTTTCACTCTGTTCTCAGTATTCTCAATGGTACAAACATTTATATTTTAAGGGCTGACATAAACTGTCTGGTTATATAATCATCCTGGCCTTATGTTTGCACAGAGAATGCAGTTAAGCATCATTCTGACAAGCCTTCAGGACAATCAACACATTGCAGCTTTATTAGGTTTGGCTAGCAACAGTCTGCACCCTGCACCGCCTTGCACCAACGATGGTGTCTCTGAGCTCCAGCTTGCTGAACAGTTGATGAAAACTATTCTCATGAATCTTGCCGCTCATACGGTAAGTACCCTGGCTAGCAGCAACATACATCTTCTGTTAGGTGAGAACTTGAGTGCCTCTTTACTTATATTTCTCTCGGGGTGTAGTGTCATAATCACACTGAGCCGGCAATGCAAAGACTGGCCAGCAGGTGCCACAACTGTGGAAATTCAGCAGTTAATTCAAGATAATGCTCGATCAGAAAATTTGATCATTTACACAGAGGGGTTCAGTGTCAAGAGACAAAAGAAGTGCTTGGGGCTTCTTAGCAAAAGTTAATGGTCGACGTTTGATGCAGGAGAGCCTAGCATATGATACCACAACATCCGGCTTAAAAATAGAGGTAGAGGCAGTCACTGAAGCTTTCTGCTGGTTAGAGAACATGACACACACACACATCGTGATTGTAACTGATTCAGAAAACATGCTGAGGAAGATCAGAACAGGCTTGCTTCATGCAGAGTGGCATGCTTCGCTGCGGAGGACACGGGGGAGGAGTATTGTGTGGATTTTTTCACCGGGAACGCCGGTGTGTTGGGAAATGAACAGGTAGACAGACTGGCTGGCTATGCACAACTTGGTGGAATACTGATGCATGATAAGGCAGACGTGGTTAGTGCCTTGTAGGAGAGTACAGTTTGGAGGAGCAGATGGATCACCACAGTCTGGTGAGATTGATGCAGGATGGAGTGACGAGAGGTTCTGGCAGATGCTCCAAGCTGAGAGGAGAGGCAAGACGGACGTTTAATCAGAATTCTACTGGCACCATTAGTATTGAAACTCTTCGCTGGCTGCTGAAGGTGGAGATGTTCTTATGGGAATGCCCTGAGTGCTGTGATGTTGGTTCTTGAATCGAATCAAATCAAATCAAATCTCTCAGGGTGATGCACTTCTTCCATCTCATCTTCATCATTCTAATTCCCTCCTTGTAAAACTTCTGTCTGGGCCTGGAACCACATCCCCCTTTCAGAAATCATGTTTGGAGAATGGAAAAGTTATTTAGTCTCATTTCTGTTGAGTATTGGGGAGGGGGGAGGGCTATGATGTCATACCCAAAGTGTTGGATTAAGGGTGATGCTGCCTGATGATGCCATCCTGTGACTTGTGCATATATAATGTCTTGAGAGGGCTTTGTAAGTACATGGAGTTGATGGTATGATCATGAGGTAAGTGAACATTAACCTGTGATAGTAAAAAGCCCTTTCCAGCACCCTACAAGTACCATCTTTGCTGTGTGATGAATTATCTAGCTTTAATCTTGGGATCATATAAAAGCATCCAATATTAGCCCATGGTAACCAGTCTACAGAAATATTCTTCTTCTTCATCACCTTCACTGTGACATAGTAGCATGTTGTTACAGTGACATAGTAGCATGTTGTTACAGTGACATAGTAGCATGTTGTTACAGTGACATAGTAGCATGTTGTTACAGTGACATAGTAGCATGTTGTTACAGTGACATAGTAGCATGTTGTTACAGAGACATAGTAGCATGTTGTTACAGTGACATAGTAGCATGTTGTTACAGTGACATAGTAGCATGTTGTTACAGTGACATAGTAGCATGTTGTTACAGTGACATAGTAGCATGTTGTTACAGAGACATAGTAGCATGTTGTTACAGAGACATAGTAGCATGTTGTTACAGTGACATAGTAGCATGTTGTTACAGGGACATAGTAGCATGTTGTTACAGAGACATGGTAGCATGTTGTTACAGTGACATAGTAGCATGTTGTTACAGAGACATAGTAGCATGTTGTTACAGTGACATAGTAGCATGTTGTTACAGTGACATAGTAGCATGTTGTTACAGTGACATAGTAGCATGTTGTTACAGTGACATAGTAGCATGCTGTTACAGTGACATAGTAGCATGTTGTTACAGTGACATAGTAGGATGTTGTTACAGAGACATAGTAGCATGTTGTTACAGATACATAGTAGCATGTTGTTACAGTGACATAGTAGCATGTTGTTACAGTGACATAGTAGCATGTTGTTACAGTGACATAGTAGCATGTTGTTACAGAGACATAGTAGCATGTTGTTACAGAGACATAGTAGCATGTTGTTACAGTGACATAGTAGCATGTTGTTACAGTGACATAGTAGCATGTTGTTACAGTGACATAGTAGCATGTTGTTACAGTGACAGTGATAGTAGCATGTTGTTACAGAGACATAGTAGCATGTTGTTACAGAGACATAGTAGCATGTTGTTACAGTGACATAGTAGCATGTTGTTACAGTGACATAGTAGCATGTTGTTACAGTGACATAGTAGCATGCTGTTACAGTGACATAGTAGCATGCTGTTACAGTGACATAGTAGCATGTTGTTACAACGACATAGTAGCATGTTGTTACAGTGACATAGTAGCATGTTGTTACAGTGACATAGTAGCATGTTGTTACAGAGACATAGTAGCATGTTGTTACAGTGACATAGTAGCATGTTGTTACAGTGACATAGTAGCATGTTGTTACAGAGACATAGTAGCATGTTGTTACAGAGACATAGTAGCATGTTGTTACAGTGACATAGTAGCATGTTGTTACAGAGACATAGTAGCATGTTGTTACAGAGACATAGTAGCATGTTGTTACAGAGACATAGTAGCATGTTGTTACAGTGACATAGTAGCATGTTGTTACAGTGACATAGTAGCATGTTGTTACAGTGACATAGTAGCATGTTGTTACAGTGACATAGTAGCATGTTGTTACAGAGACATAGTAGCATGTTGTTACAGTGACATAGTAGCATGTTGTTACAGTGACATAGTAGCATGTTGTTACAGTGACATAGTAGCATGTTGTTACAACGACCTACAGCAGCGCCTTAGTAGTTTCTGAGTAAAGTGCACCACTTTTTGACCACCTCTTGTATATCAGTAATCCTTGAGCAGTATGTTTTTTTACATCATATATCTTCGTATAAATTGTATAAAGCTTCTAGATTATATGAATTGCATGGTTCTGGGTTGTTTGACAAGACTTCATTGTATCATAGAAATAATTCAATATATTGTTAGCCCACTGACTACCATGCTCATTAACCCTTGCATTTTCCCAGGTACCATGTAATTTTAGTGTGTACTAAACATATTGTAGTTTGACAAATATTTAACATAAACTCATAGTATTTTGTATTTTTGCACCACACTGAGTGGAGGACACATTTCAAGAATAAAAGTTTGTTTGTAGTTTTTTGTAAATCATTTTCATCATGTGGCTGTACATTGGTGTGGAAAAAGGGCAACCAGAAAATTTTCAGACACTAATATAATTAATTTTGTGTGTATGTGGAAATAATCTTGGATGGACAAAGTGGACACAGTCTACACTAACAGATGCGTCTAGCAATACACACCTGAAGCACATGTTACCTGATCTAATAAAGCATAATACACCTACCTCTGACTGTAAGCGACAGTTCTGTAAGCGAAACCTTGTCTTCCGATTTCCACGATGTTTTTGATGGCAGTTCGTAAGAATGATCAAAATTACGGTCGTGAAACTTCTGAAATATCTTCAACTTCACTTTCCGATTTAAAACAATCAAGACAATATCCCACAGCATCAGGGATGTTCTTCAAACTTTTACGCCACCATGCCGGTGCTAACGCTCAGCCCTGTTTTTCAAAACAGCCATTTATGCCTCATTGACATAGTAGCATGTTGTTACAGAGACATAGTAGCATGTTGTTACAGAGACATAGTAGCATGTTGTTACAGTGACATAGTAGCATGTTGTTACAGTGACATAGTAGCATGTTGTTACAGAGACATGGTAGCATGTTGTTACAGTGACATAGTAGCATGTTGTTACAGAGACATAGTAGCATGTTGTTACAGTGACATAGTAGCATGTTGTTACAGTGACATAGTAGCATGTTGTTACAGTGACATAGTAGCATGTTGTTACAGTGACATAGTAGCATGCTGTTACAGTGACATAGTAGCATGTTGTTACAGTGACATAGTAGGATGTTGTTACAGAGACATAGTAGCATGTTGTTACAGAGACATAGTAGCATGTTGTTACAGTGACATAGTAGCATGTTGTTACAGTGACATAGTAGCATGTTGTTACAGTGACATAGTAGCATGTTGTTACAGAGACATAGTAGCATGTTGTTACAGAGACATAGTAGCATGTTGTTACAGTGACATAGTAGCATGTTGTTACAGTGACATAGTAGCATGTTGTTACAGTGACATAGTAGCATGTTGTTACAGTGACATAGTAGCATGTTGTTACAGAGACATAGTAGCATGTTGTTACAGAGACATAGTAGCATGTTGTTACAGTGACATAGTAGCATGTTGTTACAGTGACATAGTAGCATGTTGTTACAGTGACATAGTAGCATGCTGTTACAGTGACATAGTAGCATGCTGTTACAGTGACATAGTAGCATGTTGTTACAACGACATAGTAGCATGTTGTTACAGTGACATAGTAGCATGTTGTTACAGTGACATAGTAGCATGTTGTTACAGAGACATAGTAGCATGTTGTTACAGTGACATAGTAGCATGTTGTTACAGTGACATAGTAGCATGTTGTTACAGAGACATAGTAGCATGTTGTTACAGAGACATAGTAGCATGTTGTTACAGTGACATAGTAGCATGTTGTTACAGAGACATAGTAGCATGTTGTTACAGAGACATAGTAGCATGTTGTTACAGAGACATAGTAGCATGTTGTTACAGTGACATAGTAGCATGTTGTTACAGTGACATAGTAGCATGTTGTTACAGTGACATAGTAGCATGTTGTTACAGTGACATAGTAGCATGTTGTTACAGAGACATAGTAGCATGTTGTTACAGTGACATAGTAGCATGTTGTTACAGTGACATAGTAGCATGTTGTTACAGTGACATAGTAGCATGTTGTTACAACGACCTACAGCAGCGCCTTAGTAGTTTCTGAGTAAAGTGCACCACTTTTTGACCACCTCTTGTATATCAGTAATCCTTGAGCAGTATGTTTTTTTACATCATATATCTTCGTATAAATTGTATAAAGCTTCTAGATTATATGAATTGCATGGTTCTGGGTTGTTTGACAAGACTTCATTGTATCATAGAAATAATTCAATATATTGTTAGCCCACTGACTACCATGCTCATTAACCCTTGCATTTCCCAGGTACCATGTAATTTTAGTGTGTACTAAACATATTGTAGTTTGACAAATATTTAACATAAACTCATAGTATTTTGTATTTTTGCACCACACTGAGTGGAGGACACATTTCAAGAATAAAAGTTTGTTTGTAGTTTTTTGTAAATCATTTTCATCATGTGGCTGTACATTGGTGTGGAAAAAGGGCAACCAGAAAATTTTCAGACACTAATATAATTAATTTTGTGTGTATGTGGAAATAATCTTGGATGGACAAAGTGGACACAGTCTACACTAACAGATGCGTCTAGCAATACACACCTGAAGCACATGTTACCTGATCTAATAAAGCATAATACACCTACCTCTGACTGTAAGCGACAGTTCTGTAAGCGAAACCTTGTCTTCCGATTTCCACGATGTTTTTGATGGCAGTTCGTAAGAATGATCAAAATTACGGTCGTGAAACTTCTGAAATATCTTCAACTTCACTTTCCGATTTAAAACAATCAAGACAATATCCCACAGCATCAGGGATGTTCTTCAAACTTTTACGCCACCATGCCGGTGCTAACGCTCAGCCCTGTTTTTCAAAACAGCCATTTATGCCTCATTGACATGGGAGCTCAACAAAAAATAAGTTGCAGAAAATTTACTTTAATCACCACTGAATTGTTTCCGTTAAAGAACTATGGAAAAGTGAAGGGACTAACGGTTTCAGTTTTTATTTACTGTAAAAGTCGTAATTTTCACATGGCCGTGGGCAATCAACGATCGCAAGGGATGCGACTGTGGTAGCCAGGTGTAAACGCCACTGGACCATGTAACGTGCGATTGTTGTCAGTGGCTTGATCGGAGAGCTGTCAGTAAATCCCTTCGCAAATTCTACTCATACATTTGTGTCATGTTTCTGGATTGTTTAAAAAGCATCCATTATATCAGAGAAATGTTTTAATGCATTATCTTTCAGCGATGCATCAGTAAATTCCAGTGTTTCACAGATTTGTTAAACAAATATCACTGTTACTGTCCAACAGGAGAAGTCACTGAATGAATTAAGCTGCATGAACATTGCCACCCCAAGCTTGGCCACAGAGTCATCTCCCCCTGCCAACCTGCACTACTTGCTGGGTTCCCTGCAGAAACACCTGCTGGCATATTGTTACAACAAGACATTCCCAGATACCAAGGTAACCCTTTCTTGAAAACTTCCTTGTGTGTATTTTCCAGACCAGTTTAAGATGTTTGTGTTACTGGACTGTCTTTTAACCAGCAGTATAGAGGCTCTTCACAAACTGAACCCTGACTGAGTGAACGGAAGATATTTCTTAACATTTGACAAGAGTAACAGCCTTAAAATGTGCATGTCTGATGATGAATGCTGCACCATGCATCTCCACTTATTATGTAAATTAATAATTGGACGACACCGAGAATCAGGTATGTATTTCTTGATTAAGGATTGTCAGTGAAGAGTTTTCCAGGAGTTAAGTCTAGTGGGGGTTATGTAGTTGTGTTGTTAGTGGTGGTGTGTTTTTATGAGAAGGGTATAAGTTTGAAGATTGAACAGCACAAAAACAAATAAATCGTTGACAGCTGGTCACATTTAGGACTTCATGAGAAATATTATAGACAGTATCTAACGTAGAATTCTAAATTCATTGTCTGATGCAACATTTTTGGTTTTCAAATCGTAGGGTCCCTGTGTGGTCAAGCATTTGCACCAACATCTGCTGCTGCTACTGCCAGTGTGTGGGGATATCTTCAGTTTGACTGCCTCAGTTGTCACCAAAGTCAGTGGCATGGAAGACCTCTTAGAACAAGTTGAAGGTAATTATACCACTTTGTCACTTCTCTATAATTACTGAGCTACTGTGGCATGGAAGACAGGAAAATAGGAAGTTGTCTTTTGGAAGTGGTGATTATACCTGATAACAGCTTTGGTGCTTGTTGCACCTGCGCAGTGTGTAGATATGGTGGATATGATTATATGTACCCCTAAAAGTGTCGTTATTTAACAGAAAATATTATTTAAGAAAGAATAGATTTTATTTTTAAAATATTGACATCATTTAATTTCATGATTGCATCACACATTGTTCTGTGTGTAAAAGTGACCAAAACCACATTTGGCTGGTTAAAGGGAAGGAAATCAGTGAATTTTGGCTAGGTTTGTATTTATTGATTACTTTCCTTCACTCGAAAATGAACCTTTTCACAATTTAGACATTTAGCGGCTAGAAAAAAGTGTTGTAAATTATTTTTAGTGACATGTCATCAAAGAAGAAGAGGATTTCCTTCTACTTGTCTGTTCAGTCATCTAGGTGTTCAGCCCCTGGATATTTATAAAAATTGGCTAAGACTACAATCTTTTCCTGCTTTTGTCCTCTGCTTACTGAGGGTAGTTTGAGAGAATTATAAAGATGCATCTCTTTAAAAAAAATTGCGAAACGGGTTCTTTTTAAAGGTTTTTACAGGCTGTAAGTGTTACAGAACATTATTGTTTGATTGTAATATTTCAAGGTTGTTGTTTAAATTGAGTATAGTTGAATAACACCAGACTACTAGTGAACAACATTATACATTTGAGAACTCCATATTTCAGGTTGATCTTTTTCAAGCATGCCTGCTGACTCAATGGGCACAGATTCATAACAGAGATCAGATGTCTTAGAACAGCTGCCGCAGTAACAAGAAAAGATCAAGTTTAAACTAAAGGAATTAGAAGATGCCTAGACCTGAAAACATTCAGTTCATTAAACAGTGATATGATTTGGCCATCAGATGAGAATGTCATGTTACCAAATGCCAGAGCAGCACACGTTAGAAATATAGTGAACACAGAGCAAGGGGAAGACTGCACAAAGGATGAAACTAGGGCATTAAGAACAACTTTGAAGAAATGAAGATTGACTTATACAAGGCACAAAAAAAAAAAACTTTGATGAGGTAACTGGAAGAAGAGGAAAAGAAGAAGAAGGCATATACTGCAGTCTTAGATAAACTCTCCCACTGGCAGCCTGTCAGTCATATTCACATAATTTGGGTATCTGGCACACAGAATGTTAGTTTTTTTTTTTTTAAAGATAATAGAGCTGTAAATTTGAGAGCTGTAGATTTCAGTAGGTATTTTGTTGTTGTGTGTTGCAGATGTGGTACTACAGTCTCCAGCCGGCAGAATGTTGAGTCATATTCTAAGTGCTTTACTGGTTCTACCTTTGGCCCTAGTCATGCCTGTTCTTCATCAGATTCTTACCCTGCTACCACAGCTGGACAATCTGGCCAAGTTGTTACCTGGAGCATCCTGCCTGGAAGAAGCCGAGCTTGAGTTTAAGAAAGGTGCAGTGCTTAGTCTTATTCAGCATAACAGATTCTAACATGTGGTTGCACTTGCAGACTTACTTGAGATTTGAGAAATGAGGGAAAGTCAATAAGTAGGTCACAAATATTTGTTTAAAAAAAATAAAGACAGTGACAACTTGAAAACCTTTAATTATTTTACAAACACTCTCCATTTATTTTTCAACATAATTTCCACCAACATTGATGCTCTTCACCCGTTGTTTTGACAGTCAGATGTCTCCCTCCAAGGTGGGTTTTCATTGGACAAAAAAAGGTGGAAATCACTAGGTGCTATGTCAGGGCTTAAGGTAGATGTTCCAGAAATTCCCACCCTAGATGGTTAATTTTCTCCCAGGTTAACCGAGCCGTATGTGGTCTGGCATTGTCATGAAGGAGCAGTACTCCTCTAGTCAGCCTGGGCGATTTCTTCGAATTGCACCATGAAGCATCGATAGGACTTAACAGTATGAATCAGCATTCACATTGTCTCCTTTTAAAAAAAAACTGTTTAAAAGCACTCCTTGACAATCCCAGAAGATGAGTGCCTATGCAGACATGTGCGCGGGCACACACATACACACCTATGCATGCACACACACATTCACAGAGAGAAAGAGGTATGAGTGGGATCACAGACCCCTTAAATTTGTTCTACATACCCTTGTGACTGCCATCTGGGATACATTACTCTGGAATACTCAGAAGTCAGCTCTTTTAAGAGATTTTATTTCTTACCATGTAGGTGGCGGATCGGAAGGTTGTGGGTTCGCTCCCTGGCGGGGCCGAACTTTTATTCAAAAATGACCTTGGCTCCCAGGTCGACCCAGCCTTGAGTGGGTACCGGGTGCAGTCCCGGGAAGTAGAGGCGGCCGGCGTGATGCTGACCACATCACCCATCTTGTGCCGTTGGTCTATAAAAATATAGGTCTAGCCCTATATGCCCTATACGCCTAAAGGTGTGGAAAAGGGTCCTTTACTTTACTTACTTACCTATAAAGGTGTAAGCACTACAAATGGCTTGCATCACTTAAAGGCAGGTTGATTTAGTGAATTTCTTCCTAATGCCTAACCAAAACACAGTCTCAGTGGGGGATTGTGTTGCAAAGCTGTCCTTTCCATTTCCAAGCTCAGAAACTCATAGGTTGGCAAAGACATCTGTGTAGAGGCACATTAAGATGTAAAAGGTCTCCTTTAAGCACATCAGTATATGGGGCCAGACACAATTTTTATAGACCAACTGGCCCTCGATGAGTGATGTGGTCAACATCATAGTGGCCGCCACTCCTGCCCAGAACTTTACTTGGTACCCATTTGAGGCTGGAAGCCGAAATCATGTATACAGAAATCAGGTCCTTGCTTGCAGACTTGAACCCACAGCCTTTAGATTGCAGGTGAGTGTCTAGGTGCTACACCAGTGGTTTCCCACATTAAGAGGTAGCCAAGTCATGATTACATGCCTAGCCCTAAAAGCCAAATACACCTGAAGGCTTGAAACAGGGTCCTTCACAAGTCATGATTCAGCATTCCCTGTGTGGACTGGCAGAAGTTAGGCATAAGAGGATAATGTTGCCTCCACAGTTCGTCCAGTTCCAGCACAATATCAGATGGGATGTTTCAGTCAGTGAATACTCATATGTTCTGTTGGCTTGTTCTTGTTATTTAAAATGCCAGGATTTGCTGTTAGGTTACCTTTGTAAAGGAAAAGACTTTTTTTTTTCTCTCTAATGCTGTTCATTCATATCTTTTATATATTGAAGAACATCTAATGCTGCATTTTTTTTTTTCTCAGATGATATTCCTGCTCACCAGAAACCGTGGTCATGGCTGATTGACCTGGAGAGAACCTGTGGGCTGCTCGTAGGCAGCTGTCTGGGAGGGATGTTGCACGGTCCTCAGCAAGCCCAGTGTGAAGTTGAATGTGACCACTGGCTCAATTCACTGTTGTTCAGTAACGGCCTGCAGTCAGCAAGCCACTTCAGTGAGTTTAGTTTTTAAAACATTTGTCTTCATCAACATCCTTCATGTCGTAAATGTAACTGATTCACAGAGCATGTTGAGAAAGGAGGACAGGTATTCTCATGCAGAGTGGCAAGCATTGCTTTAGAGATCCTGGGTGGTTAACATCCTTTGGATATTTTTTCCAGGTAATTCATGTGTGCCGAGAAACAAACAGGCAGATAGACTGGCTGGTTCAGTCGCACTACTTAGTGGTAAATGAATGTATGACAAACTAGATGTGGTCAAAACCGTTTGAGAGCAAGTAAACTGGTTAAAGTTAATGAAGAATAAATGGAGTTTCTTTCAAGGAGTAGTAATAGTAAGGATCACTGAAATGTGCTAGTTATGAGTTGGTTTATCTTCACTGCTTGCTGGCAGACGTGTACTTCTGGCGTGAGCAAGACCATCTGACCCAGACATCAACATTGACAGGATGTGAAATGGATCTCCAGTGATCAGGACGAGGATATGGTCATGACTAACCTGATGGTTATAATTAGTTATCTCCTGTGCTATACGACAGACAATGCATGTGTCAATCTATCACAGTGTACAATACTGGTCTTATTTTCTGTTGTTATTATAGTTAATAGTGTAGTTGGTATCACATATACCTCCCAGTCTGAAGGGTATATGTTCAAACCCTGGTGGACTATAAAAAATTTTTTATTGTATATTTTTGCTTTCAGTTCTTGTCACTTTTCGGCAACGGATAACTCAAGTATAATTTTTTTAAAAATGTGATAACATGGTGACTACAATTAATTATGATTTAAGTGGAAGCCGCAGTAAGGTCATCAGTCAAATTTTGGAGTGGGGACTGCCAACAGTCTGAATTGTAACCTGTCACAGACCAGGAATGAGTGCTTGGACCCTCCCAGAACAGTAAACTCCCCACCTTCCCCGGTGACTGGGCGGTAGATTCATCTGTCAAGTTTATGGGGCTATGGATTAGGTCAGGGGATCATAAGAGCCTCAGATGCACTTATACGTGAAGACAGCGATGAAGAGGATACATTTTCTTCCACTATCTCTAATGAAGCCAGGCAATTAAGTCTAAAGTTTCTAATGGTTACATTTTTTTAGGGCGAGGTTTCGTGGCGTCGCCATAGTGCGTCCGACATGTCAACACTCATGCCAACCACCCACCTCCCTAGGGTAAATATTTTTAGGTGTAAAAAATATAGCACTCACCACGATACATCTTTTGCTTTTGGAGGATGTAAAATGTTCAGCACAGGAGAGAGAGACGGCGGGAAATTCCTTAGCACAGTGACATTGGCTGCGAAGTACGTAGCAGCAAAAGTGTTAAGATTTTCACCTCAGTATGTTTTATTTTCTGTCCATCTACCATTTAAAATAAATGTTTTTTATTACACGCTTTATTTCTCTCTTTTGTCTGTTAGAAAAGATGAGCTCTCTCATGTCGGAAATGACAGTCGAGAGCCCAGAGTCATTATCCAGTCTGTGTCATGAGCCCGGCATGGACTCTGAGACAAAAGCTCTGCTGAATCTAGCCCTGGGTGTGTCCAGTGATACCAACAATCACCTGCTGGCTATGATGGCAGACTTTGCTCTTATCCAAGGTAAGTGCTGCACTGTCTGTGTATGACACCCATGTACCATTCAATGATGGCAGACTTTACTCTGATTCATGGTGAGTGTTGCAGTCTGTCTGTGTATGACACCCATGTACCATGCTATGATGGCAGACTTGCTCTGATTCATGGTGAGTGCTGCAGTCTGTGTATGACACCCATGTACCATGCTATGATGGCAGACTTGCTCTGATTCATGGTGAGTGCTGCAGTCTGTGTATGACACCCATGTACCATGCTATGATGGCAGACTTACTCTGATTCATGGTGAGTGTTGCAGTCTGTGTATGACACCCATGTACCATGTTATGATGGCAGACTTGCTCTGATTCATGGTGAGTCCTGCAGTCTGTGTATGACACCCATGTACCATGTTATGATGGCAGACTTACTCTGATTCATGGTGAGTGTTGCAGTCTGTGTATGACACCCATGTACCATGCTATGATGGCAGACTTACTCTGATTCATGGTGAGTCCTGCAGTCTGTCTGTGTATGACACCATGTACCATGCTATGATCGCAGACTTTGCTCTGATTCATGGTGAGTGTTGCAGTATGTCTGTGTTTGACACCCATGTACCATGCTATGATGGCAGACTTTGCTCTGATTCATGGTGAGTGTTGCAGTCTGTCTGTGTATGACACCCATGTACCATGCTATGATGGCAGACTTTGCTCTGATTCATGGTGAGTGTTGCAGTCTGTCTGTGTTTGACACCCATGTACCATGCAGTGATGGCAGACTTGCTCTGATTCATGGTGAGTGCTGCAGTCTGTGTTTGACACCCATGTACCATGCTATGATGGCAGACTTGCTCTGATTCATGGTGAGTGCTGCAGTCTGTGTTTGACACCCATGTACCATGTTATGATGGCAGACTTGCTCTGATTCATGGTGAGTGCTGCAGTCTGTGTATGACACCCATGTACCATGCTATGATGGCAGACTTGCTCTGATTCATGGTGAGTGCTGCAGTCTGTCTGTGTATGACACCCATGTACCATGCTATGATCGCAGACTTGTTCTGATTCATGGTGAGTGTTGCAGTCTGTCTGCGTTTGACACCCATGTACCATGCTATGATGGCAGACTTTGCTTTTATCCAAGGTAAAGATCTGTCTGTGTATGACACCTTTTTATAGTTAGAGCAGAACAGAATGATTGAGAGAGAAAGAGAGGGAGAGAGAGACTGATTAATAGTCAGTACGACAGAGAGGCAGTCATGGAAGGAAATGTCAACCTTCTCTACTTTGTCCAGGATCCAGATTGGCATCTGTTTCTGAGATGACTGGGGACAGTTGTAGATAGTTCTTGACCAGAGTGAGTCCTGGTGCACTGCCATGTGTAGCATCTTCATCTCTGCAAGCCATTCATTTGTTGGTTATATGGGCTCTTCTACTGATTTTGCATTGAAATCTATGTCAGATAGTATGACTTTGTCCCGCTCTCTGACTGACACACACAACTGTTTCAAATAATATGCCTCTCTCTGTGTCTCTGTCTATATCTCTCTCACACACACACATGCATGCACGCACACACCCACACACACACGCACGCATGCGCGCACACACGCACTGTGACAGATAATACGCCCCTCTCTCTCTCTCTCTCTCTCTCTCTCTCTCTCTCTCTCTCTCTCTCTCTCTCTCTCTCTCTCTCTCTCTCTCTCTCTCTCTCTCTCTCTCTCTCTCTCTGTCTCTCTCTGTCTCTCTCTCTCTCTCTCTCTCTCTCTCTCTCTCTCTCTCTCTCTCTCTCTCTCTCTCTCAAACACAAAATGTTCTCTTTCTCTCTCTGTCTCACACATCCAGACACACAACTGTGTCAAGTAATATACCTTTCTATCTAATACACAAATACACACTGCTGTGTCAGATAATATACCTCTCCATCTCTCACACACACAGACACATACTGCTGTGTCAGTTATTTACCTCTCCATCTCTCACACACAGAAACACACACCACTGTGTCAGATAATATGCCTCTCACACACACAGACACACACTGATGTGTCAGATAATTTACCTGTCACACATACAAAGACAAACACTGCTGTGTCAGATAATATACCTCTCCATCTCTCACACACACAGACACACACCGCTGTGTCAGATAATATGCCTCTCACACACACACAGACACACATTGATGTGTCAGATAATATACCTTACACACACACACCGCTGTGTCAGATAATATGCCTCTTACACATACACTGACTTGTATCGTCAGGGTAAGGATAGAGAGAAGGTTGCTGAAGAACTACAAAAAGAGCTCAATTGCATAAGCACTTGGTGTGGTGAAGCTGGTGCTCTGGTCAACCTAATGAAGTCGGCAGTGACATGGTTCTTTTTGAAAAACCATATTGTGAAAACTCCAACACCAGTTGTTAGTCTGTGTTCAGAGGTTGTGGAAAGAACGAATGCATTAAAATACCTGGGGATACAGTCTGATCAAAGCCTTGCTTGTACTGAGCACTTAGATAGGATTTTAATGAAAGTCAAGCGGGGTCTGGCTGCGATGAGAGTGATGGCGGTACGCAAACTGTGAGCAGCGTCATCTATGTCTTCTATACCAGGGTCTGGTCCTTTTTGTTTTTGAATGCGCGATGGCGATCCTGACTCTCAGCCATAAGCAGGTGGAAAGGATGGAAAAGATACAGAACGAGGCTAAGCGCATTATCCTTGGGTGTACAAAAGATACAGCATGCAGGGCTATGCTCTACCTTCTCGATTTTTTGACCAGACTGAATACAAATTTCCTGAGCTTGTGCTTACCTCACAGTCAGTGCAGACACACAACATCCATTACATAGTCAAATCAAGAAGATAAAAGGCAGCAGGTTAAAAGAAGGCAAATCGTGGATGGGTCAAGCTGAGGATAATATTTAAGGTATGTTCACTTGAGGACATAGAACCCGGCAAGGAGTGGGTGCAAGTGCCCTCAGAATGCTGTACATCTTTTTCTGTTTGCATCCAACTAGACAGAAAATGCAGACAACAGAGTCGGGCTGCTGTGGAAGCAGAAGTTCAAGCCTTGATTTTTGAGAACGCTCTAGAGGTGATGCTGTCATTTACACAGATGGTTCTGTAATCCGCCACGTTAGAAGCTCGTGGGCTTTCACGGCTCAGTTTGGAGGGAGAGTTGTGAAGGAAGATTCTGGAGCTTTTGCCGTAACTACAAGTAGTCTGACTATGGAGGTCATGGCTGTGACTAAAGCAGTAACATGGCTAGAGACACAGACTGGGGCATGCTTTCTTAGTGACTCGATGAGTATGCTCAGGAAAATAGAGAAGGGCTGGGTCCGAAGGCAGTGGTTAGTGGCTCTACAGAAATCACGGCTGACAAGGATTAGTTTCATTTTTGTGCCTGGACATGTGGGGGTACAAGGAAATGAGCAAGCTGATATGCTTGCAGGTAAGGCTACTGTGAAAGCCGGTCAAGCCATGGACCTGGCTGATATACGGATTGCACTAATAGAGTTAAGATGTTTGCGTGAACCAACTGAGAACTGAATCTGCAACCATGGTCAGACTGCAAGAACAACATGTTAAACGGGGTGTCGCCAAACATGAACACTACTCTGGTAGCCAAAGAATAATAATAAACCAACACAGAACTGGTGTCGTTAGCGGCTACACGCTGCGGGATTTACTGAGGAGGGGATCCAAGCACTTTTGGACTTAGTGGTTCGACGTGCAATAAGGATAATCTGTCGGCTAGCTAACTAACTAACTAACTAACACACACACACTGCTGTGTCAGATAATATGCCTCACACACACACACACAGACACACTACTATGTCCTATAATATGTCTCCCACACACTGATACAGGCAAACACACTGCTGTTTCAGATAATATGCCTCACACACACACAGACACACTACTATGTCCTATAACATGTCTCTCACACACAGACACAGGCAAACACACTGCTGTGTCAGATGATATGCCTCACACAGACACATTGCTGTTTCAGATCTCAATACTTGTGAAATTAGAGAGGAGAAGTGGCTGGACTTGGTGACCAGGTTTTTCTTGGCTGCAGTGCTGAAACATTGTAATCTGTGGAGACATATCAAGGAGCACGACTGGTAGGTTTTGCAGTTATATGAAGCCATTTTGTAATATTTAATATCCCCAGAGAAAGCATAACACTACCCAAGTCTTCACCGACATAATTTTATGAAACAGACTTCATGGAATTGTGCAAATCTAGATAGAATACAACCAGAGATGAATATTGCACCAAAGGAACAAGATATTTGATTATTCAACTGAGAATGGGTATGGATCTGTCATTTTACATTTGTGAGGCTGTTGAATAGGAAACAGGAGTAATTGTGGATCTGTCCAGAGTGCAGTGTTGATAGTCCTCAATAATCCCTGAATAGAATAATAGTTGCTGTGTTTGTTTACCAAGAAAATGTGCCGTGTCCGTCCGGTCTGTAAGTCGCAGAAATATTTTTTTGACGTAAGTTCTTAAGTCTGTGTGTATATATATATATATATATATATGAGTGTGTTTGTGTGTGGATGAAAAATAGAATAGACTAACATATCCTCAAGATCCTTGGTGATAAAAATGAAAATGTTTAGCTGTTGTATAAATTCTCCAACATTTGCAGCAATTTAGTTTCCTGTGCTAACTTTCCGCAGGCCAACCAAACATCTGGAAGCCATATTTATTATGGTGTACAAGGTCAGGAGTGTGCTGGTATCTTTTCGAGGTCGCAGTCAGGAGGAAGACTCAGAAAAGACCCTGGTTGGTCAGAAGTGTAATGACACAAAGTCAGAACTTGCTCATGGCGAGGGTAGGGGTGAGGAGGTGTTGGACAGTCCAGAACATTCTAGAGAAAATCTAGATGAAAGCATGGACCATGATTCTGACCGTGAACGCCAGTCTGTGGAAGGTAAATAACTCTCTTTGTCAGCCATTGCCTTCATTGCTAGTTTATGGTTTGTAGACACTGGATT